GTCATTATGGCTTAGCATGTTTGATTTGGTGTTTGGCCATACAGTGCGTGGTTCTTTCAAGTTGCTGAAGAAACAGTGGTTGGAGGATGACCCAAAAGAAATGCATCTACGGGATTACGTTTCCAAGTTTCCGTCCAGACTCTTACATGCTTGTGAATTGGCTTGGGAAAATTTGAAGTCATCCCAATCTAAAGTGAAAATGTTTATGACCTCAAAGCTGAAAAACATTAGTTCCATCCTGGTGACATGGTTTTAGTATTGTTACCCACTATGGGACATCCACTCAAATCTAGGTATCATGGTCTCTATGAGGTTGTTCAGAAAGTTAATGATAGAGACTATGTTGTAAAAACACGTGATCATCAAAAGGCTACCCAGCTGTGACATATTAGTATGTTAAATCCCTATCACATCTGAGATTCATACAAAAATATTTTAGCTGTTGAGTGTTTTTTTGATACTGATAACACTTATGTTGACTCAGATACTCATAAATTTGAAAATATTGGAGATGAATGCAACATCAAACTGAGTAATTCTGGCCAATCTTGATTCAAAACTCTTCTGTCTTCTGAAGAGAAAAATCAACTTGCTAATTTATTGATTGTATACAAATTTATATTTCTGGATGTTCCTAGTCAAACCAACATCGCTGTTCATGATGTAGATGTAGGTGACACTTCTGCTGTGAAACAACATCCCTACTGTGTGAATCTAATCAAGGCTGATGAAACATGTAAAGAAATATCATACATGCTGGAAAATGACATAATAGAACCCAGTAAAAGTGATTGTTCTTCACCTTGTGTACTTGTTCCTAAATTTGATAGATTGGTTAGATTCTGTACAGACTTTCACAAAGTAAATGCTTTGGACGAAGACAGATTCCTACCTTATTCCAAAAATAGAAGATTGTATTGATAAAATTGGAAAAGCTAGATATATCACAAAGTGTGACCTACTAAAGGTGTACTGAACTGCTCCTTTAGCTGACAGGGCAAAAGAAATCTCTTCTTTCGTTACTTTTGATGGATTATACCAGTACAATGTAATGCCTTTTGGGATGAAAAATTCTCAAGCAACTTTTCAGTGAATGAATGTCTCAACAATCTGTTAGATGTTGTAATTTATGTTGATGTTATTGTGTTTTTCATTGACACCTGGTAAGAACATTTATTTGGATTACATGACATTTCTGACTGTAAATTTGGCAAAAAGTGACTTCTGTAAAGCCAGAGTTGTTTATTTAGGTCAGGTAGTAGGCAATGGCCAAGTTTCTCCAATTTAAGCCAAAGGTGATTGTATTGTGAATTATCCAACTCCTACCATCAAAAAAAGTTTGGGAATGGCCAGTTATTACAGGAAGTTTTGTGAAAAATGTTGCTGACATCACTGTACCATTAACAAACTTATTGAAGAAAAATCAAAAGTTCAACTGGTCTGAAGCATGTCAATCTGCTTTGGAAAAGGTCAAATCTTTATTTCACACTTTCCCTGTATTGATGGCACCTGACTTTGATAAACCTTTTACATTAGCTGTTGATTTTGGTGCTGGTGCTATCCCATTACAATCAGACAACAAAGGTATTGAACACTCTGTTTGTTATTTTTCTAAAAAGTTTAATTGTTACCAAAAGAATTATTCTACTGTGGAAAAAGAAACATTGGCTTTAGTGTTAGCTTCAGAACATTTCAATGTATATGTATCTGCATTACAACAACCCATTGTCATTTACACTGATCATAACCTGTTGACGTTTTTAAACCGAATAAAGGGAAAAAACAAGACTGTTAAAATGGAGTTTATCATTAGAAAAGTATGGTTTGAAGATAATCCATGTCAAAGAGGTTGATAACATTTGTGCTGATGCACTTTCATGTGCTGTGTAATTTTATTATCATAAGGTTATTTGTATTGAGTGTGTTATATACTGTCATGATTATTGGAGTTGTATAATTATTTGATAATGTAATTATCAACACCTTTGGAAAGTGTTTTTCCAATCATTCTACAACCTCCTCTTGTTCCTCTGAATTCTTGGCAATCTAGCCTCAAACCAAAGGACTTTTTTTTGGTTTTGATTGTCTTTTAGCTTATATTTAACAAATCATTTTGATGAGACTCGAAATAGCCCTGCATTGGTCTTGCATTACACCCTTCAGACTGCCTTTATCAGTCATGTTCTGGTTCTTTGCAACCGTATTTGGCAGGTGGGGGCATTTTCTGAATTCTAACATTTTGAAAATCTGGGAAGGTTCCAGTAATTTCTTTTAATTATAGACCCATTGCTTTGAATAATTGTAAGATTTTGGAGAAAATGATTAATGATCATATTATTTGGTTTCTTATATCAAACAAACTCCTTTCCATTAGTCTGTATGTGGTCCACCTTAGACAACTTGATTTGACTTAAGATATCAATCAGGGAAGCCTTTTTTTCAAGAGGGAACATCTTGTTTCCAAGGCTTATGACACTACATAGAGGTTCAGTATTTTCCAGGATTTCCATTTTTGTGGGTTATGTGAGCATTTTTCTATTTTAACGTTTTTAATGACAACTCATTATGGGTCCATGTTTATTACCACTATGTTGATACTTCACTCAGGAGCTCAGAATGCCTCTGGACTTTGTCATAAGTATCATACTTTTTTTTATTAAAATCAATTCCATAACTGTACACTTCTCTCTAATAGTTGCAATTAACTTTTGATTTTCAGATTTACTCTCAATAATCAAATATATAAGCTATATTGACAGTAGCTCCAAATTACTCTCGCTAATTTATGTCAGTGGATGTCTGCAAATGTGTTGAAACTTTCGTCAACTGAAACTGCATGCATTATTGCTGCTAAAAAGCTCTATCTAGGATGTGCAAAGGGGGCAACTACCCAGGGGCCTGGGTGAATGAAACCTTGTTATGTCGTAAAGCCTGCAAAGCATCTTTAGGCTATATCTTCATTTAATGATAAAACCATAGTTTTTGGCTTTTTTTTGTATATAGACGCTTGATACATTAAGAACGACTGAAATGATAATTTAAGCAATAATTAATATGTATTTGTTACTTTATAGATTTAATAGATATTTGTTGTTACTTTATTAATATTTTTACGCTTATACTGTGAGGTAAAAACGGCTGCTGCTATGATTTTGTCTGGTTTATGAGCTCGTTGCTGTCCTAATTTAGGATCTTCTTTTAATAAATTCTTGAAAATGTTAAAAAAGAGAGAGAGAGAAAGGGGCCCGACGAGGATGTTTGCCCCCGGGGTCCGTGCTGGCTCTTGACGTTCCTGCATCAGGACGAGGTTTCATGCCAGCATCAGCTCTACCATCAATAATTATCTGTCTAGTTTGTGCAAAAAATCATAGGGAGGAAGTTGTTCTAATAAGACTCCACGTTGATCATAATCTTTTCAAACAGTGTTTTTCTTATAGAGTGTAACTCGTAGATGCATGAGCAATGTGACACTCGGATCACTATTTCTTACATTTAACTTTTCTGCCACTTTCATGACATTTGCTGGCAACAGTATTGTTGAGGTAACTGATGATATTCCTTTTGACATTTGGTAATATCATTGGTATATGTTGACACTGTCTAAATTACCACAGTGTGCAGTTTCTTTATGGGCCATGGGTCTTTTTAATTCGATTTGATGTTTTAAACAAAAACAAAATTAATAACTCATTTTCTTTTATTTTTGCCACTTTAATTTCATCAAATTTGTTTTATTATTTATGGCATGGTTAAAAACTTTATTAATGCAAACAACAATAGCTTTATACCAAAAATTCGAACTAAATGAAAGAATACATCCACTTAAATTTAGGTTCTCTTTGCAAACATACCAAAGAAGTAAGCCATGCTATCTGTAACTTAATAACTTACTTATTATTTAATGATGCTAACAGTTGAATGAAACTTTTCTTTTAAGTGCCATTTTTTGCTACTGGTCTCAAACCAAAAACATTCAAAATTGGTTCTCCCAAGTTACCAGAGTTGTGGTTAATATATTCATGAAAAAGTGTTTACTTTCTCGAAGAGGGCTAAGTTTATGATTATGTATGTGATATTATGCTTGTTCATAAATCTTAAATTTACAGATTACAATGTTTTCTTTTCCTTATAGGACCAACAAAAAAAACACATACATGGATGTTAAATTTTGATATAATTATGATTCTGATATTTATTTTATGTGTACTCAAAAGTTAGGAGATTCACAGTGTGAAAAGAAAAATTAGGTTTTCATTATTTTAGAGCTCTTCTTGAATAATAAATAATTAATACAGGGCACAATTTTAATGGCTTCTATAAGTTTATAAGAGAATTTTAAATTGTTGTTATAAAAACTTTGTAGAGAAGGTGACTAAATGAATTAATTTAATATTATGATGTGAATTTAGATTTCAAATTGTGGCTTTACTTGTTTGAAATGAAACAATGAAATAAAATTAACAGATTTTTAACTGTGCTCCTTCCTAGATATACCTCATGAGTGACACATCATGAATGAAATCTGTTGTAAAAGTTTTTCTAAAATACTGAACAAACTTCACTTTTTATTCCCCTTTATAACATATAATATATCCTTCCAAACACCAAGGCAAAAAAAAGTTTCATTCGTAAAGATAAATAAAATATGAGGAATAAAATGTATTATAGTAAAAGAGGTATCTGTAATTGGAGAGGCAACACAGTGGTAAGGATACACCAGATTTGTGTGTGTATATATATATAGAACATTGAAGCTGGTTATAAGTGCTCTAGCTTACAACATCTAAGATCTCAACTTTCATGTACCATCTGCAGCCAGTTGTGCAAAGTTCATAAGAAATAGAAATAAATAAAACTTGTCTTAATTAAAGTTTGCATTCCAGCCTCCATAAAGAGCAATGGCCTATGTGAAGAGCATCATAATATCTAAGATGTTTTGGTGAAAAGCTAGTATTGTTAGTAAAATGAAAGGTGAAATATATCAATAAATTTTCTTTCAGGTGGTTCAAAAACTCCAAGAATCATTGAACAAGTACCAAGAACTCTGAACCTAGTTTTAAAACAAGATCAGCTGCAGCAGAAATATTTTTTTATTCGAGTATGTGCCTAAATTGTATTAAAAATTATTTTTAGGACTTAATTAAAATTAATATAAATATTTTTTAATAATTTTAATCAAAGTCTTAAATGTTACTTTCATCAGTGAAATTGGAGTGAGGATTCAGTTAGAAATTTAATATTTTTGACTGAAGCACTTACATTTTTGATATTTTTGAAAATCAAAGAATAATTTAGAAGATATTCTTTGAAAAGGCACAATGTGTTTGAGAACTAATAGTATTTTTTTCCTAAATGTGAAAATAATGATTTTTTTTATTTGTTAAAATCTATACTTAACTTTAAAATTAAAAGCATACCCTTACAAAATGGACTTAACTCAATAACTTCTTTGTAATTCAGGTAATAGCAGAGGCCTTAAAACACTTTTGATACAGTTGTAATTGGAAATAGAATTTAGGTGTAACATAAATTGATAAATGGTTTTTTTTTATAAATAGTTATGTATTTCTGTAAAAATACAGGCTGAGCTGAGAAACAATAGTCTTGCTGTTTGAGAATTGGTTTCTGCTCTGTTCAGTGGATTTGTACCTCGCATAAATGTTTTTGATAGCAATATTAGTTTTAAATGTATATACAGAGTTTTTTCCAGCACACTGTGATTTGTAGTTTTCATTTTATAAGCAAAAGTCACAGGTACTTTTCTTGTATTCAATTTTTACATAGAGTGATGATATTTTGTATATCTAGTCTCTGTACGGTAATAACAGCATATCAGTTGTCTTTAATAGAAACATGGCAGCTGTTTGCATTAAATTTTATATATCACAAACCTTTACTCCTATCATTATATTTGTCTTTTTTTTTACTAACACTGCCTTTTATGTCTAGAACTTTTTATGCAGATAATATACTGTAGGCAATTGAAAAAAAAAGAGTTAACATTCAAACAAACCTCTTGTTGGTATTATTTGATGTTGTTTTTTTTGTGTGTGTGTATGTTTATTTCATACTCAACTTTAAGAGCAAAATCTTCTTCTGTCATTTAATAAAACATTTTAAGCAATGGAATCATTTCGAACAGTCATTAATCAGTTTATACCAGTTAACCATTATAGCTTGTTTTTCTTTAATGAAAGTTCACTATTTTGTTAGAATTACAGAACTTATAATTATGAAAAATAAAAAGCTGTAAAAGATTTTTTTTTATTGTGAATATTATCATTCAGTAATGATCTTCTAACAGAAGTTATTACATAAACTGAAAATCAAAGATTCTTCAAAATTACTTGTATTGATATATGATATATGTTAGTAAAATATTAATGAAAATATAAAGAAATAAGAAGTAGTTGAAAATATTTTATACAAAAAACAATTTATTTTTCATTTGTCTACTCAAAGTTTTTTTCAGTTGTGTTTATTTTGAAAATTGTAGAAAAACACCAAAAGCTATACCAACATCTGAGATAGCATGCTGAAACTTAAAAATGATAAAAACTATATATATATAAGATCATAAACAAGGTATTTATTTAAAATGTTTTCCCTCTTAGATTTTTTTTAACTTTGCTATTTTTTTATTTTAAGATTGTTGTTAAATAATAATTGTTCATATTGGTGAAAATGATGATGTAAGTAATTATCTTCCAAGGAGTTATTTTTTTGAAATCTGGTTTACGTAGCAGATATGTTTTAATTTCTTATAAAAATTACTTTTATTTACTAATCTTTATATTGTTTAGTAGTTTTTCATACAATTCATTAATTAATGACTGGAGATAGTAATTTAGTAAACTTTCCAGAATCTTTATGATATACCCTGTTTTCATTAATGGCTTTATTTTCTCAGGGTGTAGATTCTTCGAAAGTTTACTCTGCTTACAGAAATGTTTAAGCATAAATATCAATTAAATGTTTTTCCTGATATAATGAATGTTTATTTGCTTCCTCGTAATTATTTAGCAACGATAATTCAGTCATTTAGGTGAGTATTTGTGCTACAAGAAAGATGATGAGCTAGAGAATTTATTTTTTATAACTTTACTAACTTGTAAATATGTCTTCAAGAGCAACAGTGGTGAAATAAAATACTGACCTTGACAGCTCAATGGCTGTATGATAAGCTCATACGAAATGAAAGGTGTTTATTTTGTTTTTAAATTATCACAAGTTCTAAAAAGGACCAAATAAAACTGAAACATCATTATTGGTAGTTGATTTTCATACTTTGTTTACTTGTGCAAGAAATAAATACTAATTATGGGAAAACGATCTGCATTTAAGTGATCTTTATTGAAATAAACCTAATGTTTTAAAACTTCCACAATGTTAGACATGAAGTAAATTACTTGTGTTTTGTATTACTTGTTTAAGTTACCTTTAAATTGGATAACGGCTGCTAATACCATCACAATGTGCTATTTTTCAGTGAAAACTACAAATTTTTCCAAGGAGGGCATGCTCTTGGGCCCCTAGTATGGCTTCAAATGGCATTTCCTTTTCCTCCAAAAGTAGCAACTCCCATTTTTGATTTCTGGCTGTTCTAGTGTGTAATATACATATCCATGGTTTTTTAAGTAGCAATATGGAATGGTGATAGAGAATTTAGACTCTAAAAGTAACAAAGTTTTGCTCTGTTAATGTTTAGAATAGTAGATTACTAAGCTTTATACAGTAAAAAGTGAATTATCAGTTTAATAATTCAAAGTAGAAACTTGTGATATTATATTTATATTAAACATAAATCCATTGTTGAATGTTGTCCAGGTAGTTTCTAATATACCATTTAACAAGCTGCCTATGAGAACCCAAATGTGATTTATTTTATTTTTATATGGTTTTATTCAATCTAAGTTTGGTGATGTTTTCTTTCTTATTCCCATTTTAACCTTTCTTTTATGTGAATGTGACAATCTCATCAAAATACTGACCCTTCAAAAGCTCTTTACTGACTCTGAAGTTGACCAGTCCTAGTGAAATGTGTGTTTATATGCTTGACCTCCAGTCTGAGTTCCCTTGGCCAAAATATTTAGATTGTGTGTTCTATATGTTAACATGCCATCTGTCTTTGTAGTAAGTCTGTTGCACTATGTAATGAACAAACCTATATGTGCTGAAGTTGTTTGTCTGGAAGATACAAAAAAGCAAGGGAAGCTGAAGATAATGATTGCTGTTATGTTCAGTGTATGTGTCCATCTATACCATCATATTAAAGTGAACGTTCTTCTGACTTTAAATCATCCCTCCCACATTTTATATGTTTTCACACAGATGCTTACCAAGTCAAGTCAGACAATGCTTCTTATATGAATATAGACATGGCTTGTGGGACCTTCCATAAGTGTGATGCTCTATCAACATTCTGTTCCATGGGGAGACTTTCCCATATATGCAGGATCCAGATTATTTGTAAATTTGTGAAGTACAAGTTCCTTATACTTTTTCAAAGGCATCAGGGATTTGTTTCTTTTTTTAAAGTTGTGACTGGAGAAGTAGGTAATTCATTTGAAAATGTGCAAAACAAGACTTTTTCTTAAGGTATCTTATTCAATGACTTTAGTTATAGGTATTAGCAGCTGGATTTTTCTCCAGTTTCTTTGAAGAAACATCATTGCCTATTGTTCCAGACCTTGTTTCTGTTCTCCATTATATTCATGGCATCTTCAGAAATTCTTAGAGCCTGGCAGGCGTACTTTACTTGTATCAGTCTTATAAAACAAAACCTGGTTGAAGCACTGAAATATTTTAAAATGGGGCACATGATCAGTTCTTTGTTTTCTGAGTGTCTGTGATAAGTGCATTTAGAAGATGAGAACTTTATACATACTTTATGACTTTTTTTTGCATTGTATCTGGATTGTGGAGCATGTCTTAATCTTCCTGATACCACCTATAGTGGAAGTGACCACAGTGTGCAATAAATATTTAATATAGCCTCTTAAAGCTCTTATTGTCAGCAATTTGGAAAACCATCTTTGTTGCATAACATTTCAACAGATGTTTGTTTTCATATATTTACTCAAAGGTTATCAGCACTAGTGGTCTCTAACTTTGAATTGATGGATTAGGTAGAAGGCAACTAGTCAATGACACCTATTGCCAACCATTGGCCTACGTCTTCATAAAATAACACATTATCGTGTGTAGCAGTTAGAGAGAAAAAACAACTACAATAAATGGAACAAATTATCTTGTATTGAAGAAACTAGTTTTGATCCATCAGTATATCCTCTTTAGTTTCATTATAAACAAGTCATTGCCTGTGCTGATACCAGCTCCACAATTATTTCAGTGAAATGGCATATATAATGGTAGGTTGCTTTCACTATAACTAGTGAAAGATTTAGATTGCTTCCCTAACAGATTTACTGGGCGGCCACATGGAATTCCTGAGCCTAAGAAGAAATAATGCAGCAACTGCTACTAAGATTAGGTGGTGCTGCACTAGATCACCTTTAATACCTAGAGCTTGATCAACTCTACAGCACTCTATGGTAGGATAGAGTTAAATTTAAGAACTTACAACACTACAATCTTAAATTTGATTCTCTGCAATGTACACAGCAGATATCCCAGTGTGGCTTTGCTTTAAAAAACAAAGAACTTTGCAGTTGAGAAGCCTTTGCCATGGAGTTGCTTCTGCAATTCAATCCAGTATAAAACAGAACCATATACAAGGTAGAATTCAAAACTCGAACATAATGCCCATGTAAGCTTAGCTGTGTATGCTAACAGAATGTGATGCTTAAACATTACATCACCATCTAAGCATGGTGATAGCAGCCCGAGAGAATATCTTGTCAATGAATTCATGGAGGGACTATTTAGCAAGTCTATCTGACTATACCAGAATGTTAAAGATATCAAAACTAATTGAAGCTGTTTCTGCGGCAATGTGGTACAAAATTGTAACCTCAGTTGTCAGAGTGCAAGAAACCTCCTGCAGTGGCTCTACCAGACACACAGCACCCAAGTATGCCAATCTCTCATTATTGAAAGCTGTAACAGATGGCACCACATAAGTAAACACCATATAGTGGTTAAACTTGGCCTGAGTGACAAAGTTACCTTGAACTTCACCCACCAGCTGAGCTGATTATATAAACAGAGAGGTGTCCTGATCTTTGGAAAGATAGAAGGAACACATATTATATCTGTAAACAATTTTTTCACTTCTGACACAGGTTTCTTTTCACTGTACACAAAAAATAGACCAATAAACACCAGACTAGGAAGAGAAGGAGGAAGGGAATATTTTAAGGACAGCTAATTTAAACTAGTTAGCCCCATATACGATCTGGGCACTGATTTAGGAAAAAACAGCCGTATGTCTGTTTATTAAGGTGTAATGGTTGGTGCACCATCTACAGGGTTGAGCATGACTTGGTATGGTCTGTAAAATTACATAGATTAAAGGTAGTTTTTATTTGATACTATTTAAAATTCTTGTGGTGTATCACTGTTATGTAAATCACTACTATGATATGTGACAACAGAGTTTTTCCCCACAAATGGTGATCAGCTAGCACTTAATGGAGAATTTTAAGTCCAAATCACTAAATGTATAAGAGTTATAACAGCATATCTTAATTCAAATATCCATGATCTCAGAAAAACACGTAGGTTCAAGAAGTCTTGATACAAGATGATAAAAACCCTATAACCCAAGTACTTTCGAAAGGGTAACTAGCGCCATAATTATAAGTGAATCACAGAGAATACTTGTGCAATAGAAATAGAGAAGATAGTTCGGCTTGTCAACTGAAATTCTAAAGTAACTGAATAGGCCTAAGTGGATATTTGACAAGAAGGAGAGAAATACATATATAATGTACATTAATAATCATAAGTTATCTCCAGGAAAGTTTGAATATGGTATTTAAGCTATTACAGCACATCCAGAAACTCCCTGAATAAGGATCTTGTAAGCATAATCTGTTCTGAACAACTTTCATTCATCCTCCCAATTTCATGTTTAATGATCATTTTCAGATATTCCCAATTTCATGGACTATTCCATTAGATATTCCCTAAGAGCAAACAACACTGCAAAAATTCTCCGAAGCAATATCCAGTGAATGTCTATTTTCTCTTTCAAATTGCTCATTGACCAAAGTCTAATACTGTTTAGATTGCACAGTCATATAACTACTGCACAATTCTGTAAACTGACAGGCATTTTATTGAAATTACAAAACTTCTGTTTAAAGAAAAAGAAATAAAAACAGAATAGATGAAAATTGTCTTTCATAAAATAACTAAGAAAATTACATTTAAATTACCTTACTTGCTGTTAAGCATAAAGCTGTGCAATGAGCTATACATGTTGTATCCACCACATGAATCAAACTCAAAATTTTAGTGTTATAAGCTCTCAAGCCATTTGGGGGGTCAAAACGTTACAATTTAAGCATAACTACATTTTTCCAAGTTTTATGAGAATAACTGTTAATAAAGAATAGTATTTAGAATATGTTATCTTTCAAATGCTGAATCATAACAGACATGCTGAGTTCAAGACTATTTTATATTAACTGTAAAAGGTCAGTGTTAGCATTATAACCAATTATTAGATTGTAGTTTTTGAAGTGGCTATCTACAGGATTTGTAGAAAAACACAGATTCAAAGTCAGATGTGCATTTACAGCCATCAAATAACTATAAAAACATTTTTGCATTAACATTCCAACTGACTTACTTTTACAGGGTTACAAGATAAACATTCCCATGACTCATAACAATTCTGAAAAGTGCTATTTCTGGCAACACATGAAAAGACACAACTTTACTTACAACAACTGCATCTGGTATACATCACAAGTAAGAACAAATGTTAGCATAAAAACTATAGTTTTCCTTTAAAAACCAAAACCAGTTATTTATATGTAGTATTCTTTACTAATAAATTCAAAGTTAACCTAATATAAATTTATGTCTCCCTATTGTTCCATTCTCTGTAAAAGTAGAATTGATTTCCATAGATAGAAGATTATTTACTGTATAGAATGCTGAACAGAATGCTAATGTTTTCTCTAATTAAACAAATTTGCATAGGAGTTTCTCGAATCTATTTCTTTCTATTCTCGATTTGTGTAAAAAAAATATTTTATATATATAATCAAGAGGTGGTGGATTGTTATGTTTAATACTACAGAATTCACGATGTTAACAGCACCAAGAGGTACTATTATTTGCAGCCATTTGAAGTTTCTTGATTATGTTTAGTTATTACTCTTCTTAAATATTGATACTTTGGAAACCTATGAAAAAGGTAACTTTGCAATTTGTTTTTACTAAATTGTACAGCCAGGTGATCAGTTTTAAAACCCATAATAAAATAAAACAGAACACAAAATTCCTTCATATCACATTTAATAGAAATATCCATGGCAACTGCATATCATTAAAGCATATGGCTAAAACTACCTTAGCATTTAGTGCCCAAAGTGTCTTATGGAAATGCACTTATGATACAAGTACTCAACACAGAGATCAAATATAAAACAAAATGATGGCATACCAAACGTGTGTATGTAGACCATATTGCAAGGAAGCCCGCACATCAGAGCATTGGAAACTTTTGAGATGCATGGCTATCGGAAGCTACTGGGAGTAAGCAGGACAGCTCCTTGGATGAATGAGTCATTACTGGTGGAAGTGGGGGCAGAAGATCAATTTGTCAATGATATCAAACAACAAAAGCTGAGATATTTTGGCCACATCAACAGGGCCAACAAGCTCTCAATGATCATCCTCCAAGGGAAGATTGAAGGATGCCACTTATGTAAACAACAGCCTAGAAGATGGACAGAAGACATCAAGAAGTGGACTGGATTATCATTGGCCCAATGCACCAACAAGGCAAGGAACAAGAACTTATATAAGGTTATGATGTCACAAACCATTGTCTCTGACCCTCAGCAATGACAAAAAAAGCAGACAAGATGAGACAAGGAACCACTGACCCATAAAATAAAACATTTTTTTTTTCATTCTATAATTCATCGTTTAATATTTTCTTTCAGTTGTATACAATAATTTGTTATTGGAACAATATTTTGGTGAAGAAAACAATAAAAAAATAAATCAACTAATTGTGATATTTCTGACAAAGTTTAAAAAATAATTTCTTTATATTTAAAAACAAACTGACATGTACTTAAATTGACAACACAGTTTGGTTATGTTGACAGGTAAAGAACCCAAATCCCATTAAAACTAAGATATAACATTTTCAACCACACAACACTGTCAATCATTAAATGCAAGTGTGAATTAATGATTACACAGATGACTTTTCCTTGGCCTTAGAAGTAATCATGGAAGCAATTAGATTACAATTTGTAGCATTAATGTAAAGACACTCCTGGCTGAAAGTTACACCACCCGAGAAGAATGTAAGATCAGTGTAAGCATTATGAGGAGTCTCCACACTTTCTGTTGGATGTCTGTTAGAAACTGCAAACCCATCCTTTTTGATACCCACAACACCAGTATGCCACAGAGATGAGTAAGGGAAGAAACTGTAGAGAGTAATATCACTCTGCTTTAAGAAATCCATAACTCTTCTGTTTGTAGGGAGAATAGGCGAGTTCTAAATACACAAGAGAAGTTGAAATTGAGAAATATTTGTCAGCAAATATTGACTAATAATTACAAGAAAATGTTTTAAAGACTCAGTGATTATGTTGAATAAACCAGCAGTATGTATAAAATCTACAGATTCTAGTAAGTTAAATAAGAATTAATATTTTAAACAGACAATGAACAATGTAAACATGTATGAAACACATGTATCAAAAGCTATTTAACTCCACAGCAGCTACGCAGAACAGAAGACAAATGCTTTAAACACAATATAATTACTTATACTTTCATAAAAAAAATATCAAATGTAGCAGACTGACATCAGAATTAACTCTTGTAATTATGTATGACAGAGAAGAAAAACAGATCACAACACAAAACTTGATCAGACTAGTTTTTTAAATTCTTTCTCACATTCTAACAAAAATATTATTCTTTAAAGTTATACTGTTTTGTGTAAAGTTAAAAATGAAAGCATTTTCAACAACAGTTTCATTTTAACCAATATTAAATCACATTTTATAAGAATGATGTTCCACGCCTCATTCTACCCTAGGAAATACGTTCTTCATTGTTTATCAAACTCAAACTTATGGCCATGATTATGCAGCATTGTCAAATACCACAATTTTCATTGCAATTAGCTTCACCAGGGGACAGGATGAACAATCTTATACGACAAACAAACTTTCCATAAGCCATTAAATGTATATGGACATCAGTGTCCACGACCAGTGGCATTAAAGTCCACTAGGGAACCTGATAAGTAGGTGTGGTTGCATGGGCTTGCTGCGATTCTAGTTTATTTGATTATCTTTCACATGGAAAAGACAATTGCTGATTTTGAGCCATTATGAACATAAAATCCTTATTGCTTAATTTGTGAATGGTATTAGGAAAGTTAACATTTTCCTAATCTGAAAATGTATTTCCAATAGACATCCACCCCCACACACAGAAAAGCTATCTGTCTCGTGTTTCTACCTAGTTTTAACGTGAACTGTGTTGGTGCATGATAATGTCATTATGCAACAAAAGCCCCCCCCCCCCAACTAACAGAAGGGTGACACAACCTCTTTGTGCAGTAACTCCCCCTATGCACTTACACATGTGATATTTTCATTCTTTGACCAGGCAAGACAAAACATGTGTACTGGAAGTAAGTTAGTTGGGTGGGAATGCGAGTATCTATCGAAACTATATTTTCAGATTAAGAAAATGTTAATTTCCAAGATAATTCACCTCTCACATAGAAAAGCTAGCTTTCCACGCAGAACTGGTGGAGGGGCTGCTGCAAAACTGTACCTAGATACTTGCCATCATTGGTGCAACACTGGGTAAACAAAATGGGCCACTGTTGAGCCAATGAGCAGAATGATGTTTGGCTAATGTTGGTGCCGATATGTGATGGCTATCTGGGTACTAACAAGCAAGGAGGAAGGATAAGATAGACCCGCAGAACTGTGGATCATGGAGAAAAAATGAGAAATAATAAGAGACACAGATAAAAGATAAGGAATATACCCAAGATTGAAAAAAGTAAGGTTGTTTCTTGTAGAAATAAGGCTTGTGTGTGAATAACATAACTCGCAACGGACAAGTATAAGACACCATAATTTGAGAATTCATGATTAAAAATTAAAGCTTCATTAACAATGCAAATCTCAATAAATTGAATGAGAAATTTTAAACACATCGATGTAATGCTAAGGAAAAAGAATGAATTTTTCACAAGAGCAAGTGCATAGTGGGGAGATTTACTGCTCGAGGAGGTTATGTCACCCTCCTATTCGTTGAGAGCTTTTGTTACATGATGTCATCATGCAATAGCACGGTTCACGATAAAACTCATGAAGTTAAGTGCGAGTTGCGTCAAGGATAGTGACATACAAATCTCATAGGCAGCAAGTGAAGAATATTCAAACAAGCAGTTTAAATAACCATAAAAGGGTACTACCTATACACATGCTTCTATGCACAATGAGCATTCAAAACAAAAAACTGTTTTAAAACAAAGATGACAGACCACTGACTATGGAAGCATATATAGACCATGGTGTAATACATGAGATATATTTACCTTAGCCTCACCGTCATCATCTGTAATAAACCAGATCATTTTCACTGCTTTTTTTGTAAACGACACTGTTTCGACCAAATAATTCAAGGCTTCAATAGGTTCAACTTTTGGCCAATTACTTGTTTTTAATCTGACTTGTAAGAGACACACATTGCTATTCCACAAGATAACAAAGTCATGATGAGACATCCAATGAGAGCTGAAAAACACAAAAATGATTAAACTTTATCAAACTGCAAAATTTACCATTGTACAAAACATTATTAATATTCAAAACCCAATTTATTATTTGTTTTAATATCTTAAAAACTTTGTAACAATAAATTCTGAACACATACCTGTTGAAGAAGTGCAGATGAGGCTGATGATAAACACCTTTTCCTCCAAAACTAACCAGTGCATACTTGATAGTTTTAAAGCCACTGGAAGTTAATGCATTTTTGGTGAGGTTTAACAAGTTTTCTAGGCCTTGCCATGGCATAAAATCACCAAAGCACTTAATGGAGGTGTGTCCATCGAGGATTATCACTAGTTGCACTTCTGAAACATCTCCACTCATAATAGCATCAGAATTTGATGTTGTTTCTTCATGGCATGTGCCTATAAAACCAACAATACAAAATATAAAACAATTCAAAAACTTTTCTCACTAACTTAATCAATGTAAGTTAGCAGACACTCACAAAAACTTACAATGATGACAATTTCACTAGTCATTAAACTAATATGGTGTGATTTATTTTCATGAAAAATCTTAATTTACTAAAAATAATTTAGACAGTAATCCTAAACTGGTTAATTCATATTTCAAGCAAACTTATATCATCTCTCCATGAGACTTGTGCATAACTTTTACTCTCCTTATTAATTATAATTCGTTTTGTTTTTACATATTTTTAATTATTTATTATAAAATATAAGAATATGGTAATACAATTGTTCAAATGCTTCCACAGAAACAATCAAATTCAAGACAGTACTTGAGTTATAAAAGAAGGCTGACCTACACTTGGGATATGTGTGTGTAACACCATTTTTTAAGATACTTAAAAAAAGAAGCAACTTAAATTCTTATTAATAGTGCCTTTCTGCCAACCATAGCTAAGGAAATATAATAAGTTCAAGACTAAATAATTCTGGCAGATGTTAACAAAACAAAAAATAATCATTAATTTGAGAATTAATAGTACTTTCACAAAATTAACTTTTTCAGCAACAATAAAATTTTGAGCTAACTAAATCAGCTCCAGGAGATAAAATACACTAGTTAAGTAAGCTTACAGAACCAATAGTTAATTTATAAAATTTTAACTAAATTGGTTCCTTAATTGGTTTTTCAACAATTTGTTTTGATGTAGTTTCGTTTGTTTTTTATTTACTGAAAGGTTAGCATTCTACAGCATTATCCAAAACATTTTCCTTATCAATCTAATGCACAAGTCTTCCATTAGGGTGGTACTTTCTACCTTGATCATTTTGTATAAGATCCACATTTTTTGTACTTACTTTGTTCATCAAACTGTTGAAAGCATTAACTCATTTAACTCCATTTAAAAATTATAAAGTTAATAAAACTTTTGTTACCAAAGAATTGATTTTCCAAGAAATATCTCAAACTGTAAGATTTTTTTTTACACAAATGTATGTGAAGCCTGATGCTCATATGAAATGTATAAATTTTGGTTAAAAATGCTTTATTTCTCTTTACATTATACATTATACGTGTATTTTTAAATAAAGTACTTTAAACCTTAAATTATTATTATTACAAACGAGTAAAATACAAAACCTTTAAAAAATGCTTAAAATTCAAATGTTCCACAAAATTAATTTGATATAATGAGGAAATTAAGTTATTGTCACTGACACAAAAAATAACAAAATAACTATTATTTTAGCTGTCTTCATAAAAATTTTCATTGAAAACAAACAACTCAAAACACCTGAAGTAGTTAATATTTATGGCTTTTAGGAGAATTTGAATCCTTTATTTAAAACTTCTTTGATATATCGAGGATTGATTGCACTTTATAAAATAAGATTCCAGATACCACACTGTCCTTGGAACTACATTCTTCAACAACAATGCTCAATCTGGTGGCCATAATTAAACACTATTGCCTAATACTACAATTTCCATTGTAACAACCTTCTGAAAAGGATGAAGAGGTAAATTTTAGAACACATTTCTAATATATGTGAGCATCAGCTCCCAAGACATGCTTTAGCAGACCAAAGACATAAAAATTTACTGAAGGTATAGCTGAGGATTTGATAGGTACGAGTCGAATAGGATTTCTGTGATTCCAATTTCCTTTACAATTTTCTTAAACCTTTCTAAAGTTAAAATCCCTCTTTAGTTACTTATAAACAATACAGGAAGATATGTACAGTTTCATCACAAAGGCTTTTTGGGTTGGAGGGCTACCACTTGTAACAGTTTATAAATTAGGAGATTGTTTTAGATGAATAATTAAAAAGTTGCTGTGAACCAAATATATAATTTGTGGTGTCATAGCTCATATCTGCTATGACACTCCACTAAATTTGCAAATCATTCTCAAAAAGCGTGACTAACCCATTGTAACATAATTTACCCATGTATCTACTAATTATAGACACCTCAAAATTTTCAAGCAATGGAAAAAAAAGATGGTAGTTTGATTTTTTCTGCTTGAGAATCCAAGTAACTAGGCATTATTATTTACCAAAGATACTTAAAAAAGTATTTTACATTTGCAAGCCAGTCATTCATGTAGCTTACATCACATGTCAATCTATATTTATTCTAGGCAGTATTCTCATCACTATCTGGAGAGGGAAGAAAAAAGCAATCAATGGGAATGCACTTGAAACCAATTAATTTTATAGTCTTAAGAATGTTCAATATTCAATTATAAAAATCATATACAGGTGTTCCGATTACATAAACAAACCCAACACATGATACTACACCAAAGTTGCCTATTTTTCGTACTCTTCAAGTTTTAACAAGTTTTAATGTTACATTTCAACAATCCTGAAGAAACGTGTTGATGAATATTTTCAGGTTGTTAACATTATCAAAATCATCCTCGAATGATTATGTAATTAGCATTATAAGTATTACTTAATTTGCTAACCTGACAAAGGTTTATCACCACAGAAGTTGACCAGTGTTTTGAACATGTTCTCCATCAAGGAGTTACTTTGTTTCTCTTGGAAAGAACATTTTGACTCAGCTGGATATTCATAACAGTCATCTTGTGCTTTCAATTTGTGAGTGTGGGATTTCCTGAATGGACATCTTGATCTAACTGGGCAAGATTTCTCTTTATTCAAAGGCTGTTGTAGCCATATGTTCATGCTGTTTCCATCCTTGACACAACAGTCATTATTAGACATTTCATAATTCCTTAGATGCTGGGCCAAGTTTTTCAAAGCAGAACTGCGAGTTCCTGGCTAAAGAAACAGAAGAAAAAATGTACATATTCTACATAGTTAAAAATTATCATTATTACACAACCTCATGAACATACATAACCAAGGATGTAAATAAAGACATAATTTTAAGACTCAACATGTACAAGCTTCATGTGTGTATGGAGACTACCGAGATAATACTTGTCCAACAAGGTGAGCTTACTACCACAATTCATTTGCTTAAACTTTTAGTCAACTATAGATTGTAATGATCTTTCTAATGTAAATTGATAATAGGAAAGAATTATTAAAATTAATAATAATAATAATATGTTTTTATTTTTTATAAAACTCTAGCAATTAATAATCAAAACTAAATTTCTTGTACCATAGGATTTTTATCAATGTTTGAGAAGTAACTATTTTAAAGCATTAATAAAGCTATAATACAATTTATTTTTTCTTTCATAATAAAATATGATCATTTCAAGCCATGAACAAATAGTCCTTTAAACTGATAAAGTTGTCTTGTTAATAGATGAACCTAAATAATTGAAACATTCAACAACTGTCTCACATTTCTAACAACAAACATTTCACCCACCTAGACGAAAATATAATTTACAAATGTTGTGAAAAATTTCCAGAACCTACTTTGAATGCAAGAACTCCATTTCACACTACCATAGTTGCTAAGCTAAGAGTTGTGGTTAACTCATGTAAGTGAAAAAAAAGAAAGAGTTTGAAAGAAATTTCATTGTGTTACATAAACATTCCCCGTGTGTTTGCACTATTACGCATAGATTTATTCATAACAAGTCAGGTGAGTTCATCTTTTTTGAATTTCTAAATGCCTTGTACATTTCAAACTGGATTGAATAATGAGTTTAAGCAAACGTGTCATCACAAGTGTTCATAAATGTTTCTAATGAATATGATTTATACAAAACACAGCAGGTTCTGACATCTTGTTCACAATGTAGCTGTTCATCTTTACAGGCCTCTGTTCAACCTTATGGGGCAATCTTCATGTGCAATATACATACAAGTCTCTATTTGTACTACCCACACAATTTAAAGAAAACCAGTAGATTCAAAGTGAAATATTTCAGTTTCCTACAAAACATTAAAATCTACTATTCAATAGCTTTAATTTTTCTTTTCTTATAACTTACTAAGTAATTCTTCATAGTTTTGCACTGAATGTTCCCAAGGAGTCCAAAAACACCTGTATAACAATCTTCATCCACTGAAAAAGCACACATTAATCTGTCACTGTGGCAGCCAATGTTCAAGCCTTTCACCTTGAGGTGGATAAATTTGTCAAGCCTAGTTATTCTCAGAGGATACCTACGATGATAAATAAATCATACTTAGTTTATCAACTGATCAACTTATTTTGCTGCAGTAATTTGCTATAAAAGCTTTTAAAAGCAATTTCAAATTACTTTTATTTAACAGGAAGATGAAAAAATAATTCAACCCATACATACTCATTTTATGAGCTTTTCCATGGTGTAAATATAAGTTTGTATAATATGGTAATTACACATTAAGATGACTTAGTGAACCTTTAATATGATTCAACATTAGCAAAGCAGTATATTTAACCAGAAAAAATAATGCCAATGGTAAAAACATGATGTAGTGAATCATTCATATGAGTCAGCATTACCAAAGCAGAATATATAGATTAATACAAAATAAAGCCAAGAGTAATATATTATAGGAGAAGTCTCTGCTTACATAAGAAAAAAAAACTTAATAAATGAGCTTATAAGCTTGCATTTAAGCATGTCTATTTTGGTATTACAAGTCAAGCCTGACACATCATAAGATGTGATTATGTTAGAAAAAATAATAATATTATTTTAAAAGAAAACCAGGGAGTTTAACAAACAAATGGAATTCACATAGCTACATCAACAGTAATTCAAACTGAAAAATTATAACATGTAGTCGGTAAGTTTTTTTTGTTGTTTTACAAGTTTACTGACGGAAATTGTAAATGTTCATATAATGGACATTTTTTTTATCCATATAAGAAAGTCATTTGCCAAAATTAAAGCACAAGTTTAATGCATTCATTAGGCCCTTAAGTATCTGATACAAGAGCTTCCAAAAAACAAAAACAATATTTTGAATAAGTACAAAGGGGAAAAACAGAAACATACTAAATGGGTTTACAAAATGATGAGGAGAAAAAAAAATAATTAAATTCTTGTTCTAGAAGTAAAGATTCTAATTTTAGACAATAGTGTAATAAAAAAAGAGTTGCTAGAATTAAAACACGTCTCAACAAAGAAGTATTCTTTCAGAGCCAGAAATTCTTACTGCCTCACAAAAGTACAGAAGCAATAATAATTTGACAAAAACTATTGACTGTTTAAATGTACATTTTTTTTTACATTTGATATAACTACATGTATGTACAAATAATACATCATTTTTATATGTAGTTTTCATTATAATTAATCATGTGTATTTAATAGATATAACACATTTCTCTACTAATGATATGCTAAGTGTTGCACATTATGCAAGATTTTTGTGTTTAACTTAATATTCATATTCAACTTATCTTTGCTTGATGAAAATTTCATAAATGAGCATGAAAGCTTAAACTGAATAAATATATTATTGTGTTAGCTCCAAATTTAATTTTTTCCCTTTTTTTTTACCATAATCAAAACATTACTCTTAAAATGTATTATTAAACAAGTTGAAGGTGTAAACAAAATGTTCAAACAAAGTAAAGTTATTTATAAACTTCCAGTAACTTGCAGTTACGTAATAATAAAACATGAAAATGCAAAATAGAATGAATACTGCTTTTTAAAGCAAAAGTGAAAAATTAAAAACTAATAAAACTTTAAACCCAGGTTATATAAGACATCAATGGTGAAACAGAGAGAACATGAACATAAAGATTTGCTGATACAATGTAGTACATTTTAATATCAGAGCATTACAAGCAACCTATTTGACTTAATTCTGGGGCAATGATACCATCTTTACTATAAATGTATTTTAGTGAAAATATTATAATCAAGTATGTTATAAATTAAAGTTTTATATTATCTAAGTATTTTAAAAAGAAACATCTAAAACAGCAATTAAAATTGCAGTTTTTAGTGTCACATGCTCTGCTCATGGTTACAATTATTAACTTATAACAACTGCTGCATAATAAGTTAAGTATAAAAAAATTAAACATTCAAGAGGTACCAAGGAACAGTCACAGTTTCCCAAACTCGTGTCACAAGAGAAGTTTGGTTTTGAAACATAAGTGTCTGTGACCCACCAGTGTGTCACATGGCAGCAAACGTGTTAAGAGCTCTTATAGAAGAAACTGTAAGTAGCTAAAGTAGACTGTTATTTCAGGTGATCGAAGTCCACGAAACATATGTATTTCATTACCACCTGGAAATGTTCCAAGAGTTTCTTCCCACCCTAAACAGTTGTAACTTTTTTTTTCTAGAGTTTAAGGTCAGCCACACCCACTTGCAAAGTCAAAGCTGTGTTTCTAAGTGAAAGTTTGAAGTTGAATATAATGCTTATAACCAATAGAAAGAGCAGATTTCCCTCTATTTAGCTAAATAAGCCAACAGACATTGGCTATATATACATTTCTAAATATTACATGGAAAGAAGCTTAATCCATTGTTGAGAGCCGGGTCCCTAGTGTTTAGCTATACTTTCTTACTGTATATAAATCAGTTTGATAGACAGTCTGATTACATTTAGGTTTTTACTTTTACATTTTAATTAATTATGTATTATTTGTGTTTTCAAATGCATACTTAAAAGGTTTAATGATTTTTATGAGTTTAACTTGTTCTTGCCTGGATTTTGAAAGCATATGGACATTAGGCACAAGCAAGCACCATCTTGTTTATCTACTACATTTCTGTGCCCAAAGTCGGTGGAAACATATGTTTATAAAGATATGCATGAATAAGTGGGGAATGCATCCAGTTCCTGAGTACCCCAGTGGGAATACAACCAGCCAAACACCTGTGGGTCGAGGGATCACTCCATAGGGAAAATCTTGTCAGGGTACGATAAACGATCTGCAATCAGATTGAAGGCACCCAGTATATGACACACCATCAATCGAATGTGATGGCCGTGGACCCAAAACAGGAAGTCCAACTTATGGAAACAAAGAGACTTCAACCGAGTGCATTCTTGCTGAGTGATGTATGAGACAACTATTGAGTTCTCAGAATGGATCATAACAGGTCGGTTCTGCAGAAATGGAAGGAATAGAAACCAGGCTGAGAAGGATCCACCCATTCCACAGTGCCTTCGTGAATAAGATCTAGAACTACCTCAGAAAGATGCTGGCTGGAAATGGGATCCCAAGAAAATAGGAAGAGGGGACAGAGGAGAAGGAAAACTGAAACAAAGAATGAGCCTTTCAAAATGAACCAGCAGAACTCAAAGGTCTGTGGTAAAGAATTCCCATACAGTGGTAAAGGGCAAAAACCCCACTGGATCTGTACCTACCACACAATCACCAGAACTACTGGATGGCACTGAAGTCATTGATGAATAAACCAACAGTTAACCTCCGAGGCCACGTAACAGGAACCAGTAAAGGAGTGGAAGGAGGGGGACAAGACATGTGAATAGGTTCAGGAGGAAGTTGAGACAAACAAGAAGCCAATGAAGAAAAGGAGGTGTGCAAATGTACAAATTCGACTCTGGAATTCATGGAGTCAGGAAGACCCCTAAAGACATCTTGCCTTAAAAAGGGAACCATACTCAAATCCCTTAAGGAGGTTGGAGTAAATGGACACAGAACAAAATACCGTTCCGACCCAAAAGAATCCAACCATAGAGGATACATGTTTGGAGGGGAAAGGGTGGAAGAGAACAATGGTACTGGAGTGGAAAAATGAGGGCATGAGTGTTCACCTTAACTCCTCAGGGAACAATGAAGAGCCTCAGACAGAAGGTGATTAAGGAAAGGGTAAGAAGGAGGGAGGATAAAGTAAGGGAGATACAGGAAAATGTGACTGAAGTATTGGGAATCGAACCCTCCACAGAGGCAGAAGAGAAGACCGAAGTTGTCTCACTCATAATGGAAGAAGTCAAAGACGAAACATAACAAACTTGGTTGATCAGCTCCAGGAAAAGTGGATAAGGCCTGGGCACATCCACTGGAGTTAAACATGACTGTGTGGCATAGGATGGTGGAGGAAACAGGCTGTTGAAATTGTCGTCCTCTTGTTCAGGACCCCTGAATTTATCGGTGGATGATGTTACAACCTTGGTTTGCTCAGAGTTGGCTATCTTCATGCAGAATTCTGATCTGCTTGAGGATTATCCCATCATGCCTTCTGCAGACCCAAAGCCACTATAAATGAAGTAAGGTTAACTGCAGTAGGAACAGCAGTGGTAGTAGTTGCAACATGAAACTCATAATTTATGGTAACTATGTGCGTAAATAAAAAAAATCCACACAAGGAGCTCCAAAAAATCTTATGAAAGTAAAAGACATGTAATGTTAATACATATGAACTAAAATTGTAGAAAAGTGTACTAAAAGTGTAGCAAACGTAAAGAAAAAGCAACCAAGTTCTTATAAACAAAAGAAGGAACTAATTGAAAATTCTGTGAAATAAAGCATGAGAGAAAAACACATCTTAATATCATAAGTACCAATTGAGAAGTAAAGCTGAGCTAAGATACATAGAGAGAGTCAGCTGTGTTAGGAGTTGTATTGCACTCTTATTGGTGGAAGGTTGTCGCATGCTCATTTGCATGTATCATGATATAAAAGACTGTTTAGTGTAGATATTATTGATTAATTTATTTTGTGAGTGAAAATTTTATAATTGTTTAGTTTTGTTTATAATTCATTGATGTTGATACTATCGAATATCACATGCAATATATTGACGTTGAGAAAAAGAGAGATTTCTAGAAGGCAGACAAATGATTAACTGATATACTTATAAAAAGTACGAGACAAGCAGAAACAGCAGGCAGAGAACAGCAGAAGAGAGTAAAGTAATGGCCAAGAAAAAGTTTGGCATGAAGTTAACTGCTGTTGAAGTGATAGACCTGATGATTAACCTAAGCCTAACATTTAATATGTCAGATTAAGACTAACAGTAGAAAAAGAGATAAGAAGAATGATTTATTCTATCAAAGGTTGAATAATATGGGTGTGTTGGACTAAGTATTCTTCTACAGTAGGTGTCTGTGACTTGTTGGTGATAAATTCAATGATAAATGAACAGCGCGCATTCCACTTGTTTTCAAAATAATATATATATTCGGAACAAGTTAAATATATGTACAATAAATTCATTACACTGTAGAGATTATAGACATATCATAAACACTATATACATAGTTCTCTTCTTGTTGTCAAAAGTCCACTTAGACCTTTGCAATTACTTTAGAATTTTGGTTGACAAGCCAAACTACCTTTCCATATTTCTATCATACTAGTATTCTGTGCATGCTGCTCGTCCAGTAATCATTTGGTCTTCTTTCTTCAAAATATCTTCTGTTCCTTTTGTTAAAGTGCACTCAGGCTGTTTCAATTACTTTAGAACCATGCCTCTTCTCAGCTTGTACTGCCCTCTACATTTGCAAATTTTTGCTTGCCATTAGCCTTGATACTCCCACCTACCCTCACGTGTTTCACATGATTTATTGCTTTGTCATTACTTTGTTTTGGAAAGTTTAATATGACATGTTATTAAATGTTTTTTTAAAACAAATTATACACATTTTAAAACTGTTAAAAACAGGCTAATTTTTAAGCATGTTTTCACGTGAGACAACTGTGTGATAGCATGCTGTCAAAACAGAGAGGCTTATTCTTCTTAATATTATCTACAGTAGTAGTATTTAGTAAATACTGTTATGCAAGAAAAGGTAAGATATTGTATTAGAAATGCAATATTACAGACGATATTGTATTAGAAATGCAATATTACAGACGATACTGTATTAAAAATGCAATATTACAGACAAAATTAATTATAATTTTGCTGCAGATAAAAAAAAAGAAGAAAAAATATCCAATAACAAGACAATCTAATAAAGGTACCACTGTTCTTGTTGCAGTGACAAAAAACAATAACGCAACCACAAAAAAAGAAAACTACTTAAGCAATTTCTTACCACTTCCCAAAAAGATATGTGCATATTATTAACAGCAGCATGACTGGAAGCTATCTCATATCCCTAAAACATTATTATTATCTAATATGACAGTGAAAGCTTAAAAAAACCAATTCACATAATAAACATTTTAAAAAATAAACTCCAATGTAACTCTTTTAAATGCAAGATAAGACATGCTTAAAAATTAGCCTATTTTTAACAGTTTTAAAATCTGTAAAGTGTACTTAAAAAGAACATTTAATAACATGTCATATTAAACTTTGCAAAACAAAGTAATGATACAGCAATAAATCATGCTTCATTCACAATTAAGTTACACAATAAGGTTAATAAATTCACATAAGATTTTCTAAAAAATTTCTCTTTTATAATACCTGAATTGGTGAACTTACTTCAAACCAAATTCAACAGGAAAACTTAGCTGTTCAGCACTTCCATTAACCAGGATGTGTCCACCAAGTAAAAGTTCAACCATTCCTTCAGAAGTTACCACAAGAAGAGAGGAGTTGTTTAAGACCACAGAAAAGTCTTCTTCCCACAAGTCATGTGCTAAAAGATATGCACAGTTGTTTGGCCAGAAATGGGATAAGCTAAAACTTACTCCATCAAAAGTTGATACGTGCTCTGTGCTACACAGTACAGCTACTTTCTTCTTCATTGCTTGTCTCTCTGTAGTAGTTTTATTTTCAGGCTGACACGTAGCAGTTGGTATGAAACATGTAGCCTGATTAGGTAAATTTGGAAAAGAACCAAGAATTTTAACAAGTCGCTTATTTCTCTTTTACAAGTTACTGAAAATGAAGGAAAGAAACACTCTGATAAAATTAGAATCATTTAATACCAAAGAAAACTAGCAAATGTGTTAATGGAACATTAGTGTCAGATTAAAACACCTAAAATACTGTTTATGCTAAAAATGATATCAAAACATGGACAGCCCACTGCATAATACCCGTGTTTATTCTATTTTTTTTTGCTGTGTATATGATCTTGGTAGCATAAATGCTCTTCTGTGCTGTGAATATGTCAATTTAGATATTTTAAATATTTCTGTATCTAAAAATAATTTCATAACAAATGCAGTACCCACTGGAGATCATTTATTAATAGCAATCTATCATAAAAACAGTGTCAATATGTTTTTATAGGAATGTGTTTTTAAACATACAATTTTCCTGCAGATCACATGAAGAAATTCTACCTAACATTGCAACATGAAAAGGCAACTTAGTAAGCTATATTCATACTTTCAAAGTTCATGTACAGTACTCCTGTGGCAACAGTCATGGTAACATATATACAGTAATTATTTAACAGAAAATAAATGTACGTTATGATAATATTGTAAACTAATTCAGAAAGAAGTACTAACTCTGATATCATGATAAGCTATTCAATTAGAAGCAACATTTGTTACTTCATGGATATGTGGTCATTAATTATATTATTTAATAATAGTGGATGTCATAGCATTACACGAAGATACTCAACAAACATTTATAGTCTAAATGATTTTAAGTGTACTGCAACAATCTTTTGATGGGTAAATATTCCACAACAGGAATTATGATGCCACGAAAATAAATATTTAGCAAAAGGTAAAACATCAGTTGTGACAAGAACAATTACATCATTCAATATCAAATATTTCAATAAGTAGGAGTCGTAACTAAGTAAGATATACACATTTGTACAAAAAACCTCATGCTTGTATCCTTCAAAAACTGATATCACCGTAGTCTTTGTAAACTCTTCAAAATTAGCTCTAAAATGTTAAGTTATTTTCATTTACTGTATTTTACTCAAGTAAATTAAAGGGTACCATACCTTAACCAATTTCTTCCAGATTGCAAAATGTTTTACACCAACAGAAAAAGCTGTAGTATTACCCTGACTGTGACTTTGTAGCTTCAATAGATCCATAGGTACCAACGTCAGCAATGTAGTTAATGCTTGGAATGATGTTATCTTACCATCTGATGTAATGTTTATAATAAAATCTCAAATAAAGTAATTTACAAAATAACTTTAAAAATTTAAATACAAATAGGGCAATTCAAAAACGTTAATAGCATATTACGAATTTACTTACTATAAGAATCTTATTTGTCTTTGAATTAACAGACTAAGGTTTTTTCCTGTTTCTAATAAAATGAAATACAAATATGCATAAGTAAATATGTATACAGCACGTAACATTTGTTATTATTGGATTTATTAGTGCTGCAATTAAGTAAAAGCTAAGATAAGTGAAAAAAATATTCATTACTCCAATTTTTTACTCAGGCAACTTCAACAGGAAGACTCCCAAAATGCTAATACTTACTCAAACCTATTTTGTTAAAAAGGAATATCTTACTTTGAAATTAATGGTTAAACTCTAGTAGATTAAGGATTAACTATAGTTCAGATGGGAGTAACAACATATTGTTCCAAACTTCTTCACAGAAAACGTTTTAGTTGCTGTAAATAAGATGTTTATAGGCTATTTATTTGTTATGAAAGAAGAATTGTGGCTTAGGGTTTGAAACCTTGGTAGATCAGTTAGTAACAGGTGTCAAAACACTGGTCTGAACTGGAAAATAATACTGCGTCAATTACATTCAGCAGTGTTCTCTAATGTATACTTTAAAGCCTTTTCTACAATTTCAACCCTTTGATAAACATGTATATTCAAAAAATTAGGATATAATGTCATGTTTTATTTAGGCTAGCTTAGACTGTAAAGATGTTTAAACATTTCAAAAATACTTCAATTTACACAACTAAGAAACAAGTAAATAAGTAGTTTTTTCTGATATATATATAAATAACATTTAGATAATCATAATGCATTTTATAATATATATATTACCAGGAAGACAACCTTCAAGCCAGGATATTATGAACTCTCTTTCATCAACAAGGTTGTTAATAAGAGAAATCCAAGGTTGATAAGCAGATTCAGACTTCAGCCAATACTCTTGAATTTCTTCTTTTGATTCTCTTACCTGTAATTTAAATGTGCATATGAGCCTTTAACAATATTACTACAAAACTATGTTACTTAATACAGTTTACCAGTAAGAACAAAGAACCAAATGACACAATAGTCTTTCAAATTTTAATAGCAAACACAAAAGAATACCCATTGTTAGTGCATCACACTTAAAAATTGAAGGTTTGGATAAAAATATTTTATCTAAAGTCTTGTTCATAATGTTCTATAAATATCTAACAGAAAGGAAGAAGTGTTTTGATAAGAAGGCTGGCTGGAAATGGTCCTACTTAACCCTTTCGTGACGGGTTAGGTTTAATATACATGACTTCGTATACACATTTGCACACTAAATATTTATACTATAACTTTTAATGCAGTAAGCATATCTTCATAAAATTTGGTAGACTTTTAGTAAAGATTACAAGTCTTTTGTACACAAAAAATCAATTTTTTAATGAAGTATTTTTATTATAGATTTGTTTGTGAAAATATCGAGTCTGTTTCATTACCAGTCCAAGTGCAAAGTGATTTTCATGTTAAAAAATACAAACTATTGTTCATCCCAAAAATCTCAAATATTATTTGTGTAATCTCTAAAACATCCTACATACATTTCAAACGTTTATTTTCAGTAAACTTTATATTTCCTCTTTTGTTTTCTCTACCATAACTCTATAAGGTCTTGCTTGAAAAGAACAACATTTACAAAATAACATGTCAAAATGGCTGAGAAAACCACAAGGGGGACATTGAGTTTTTGATTCATTATTTCCATGTCATATATAGAAGTAAGTGTATATAAAGGAGCTTTCCCAAAATTGGAAAGAGGTGGGTGGGGGGTCACTGTTTGATTCAGTGCATGAGTGATATCTTGGCAAATAGAAAAGATAAGAGGTTCTTATTTTATACTCTAGCTTGTCAATATCGCTAGTTTGAGTTCCTAATTCATACAAAACTATAGACTTTATATTTTGACATACAAACAACTAATTTGAACTAGTACTGCATTCAACATACCACGTTTAGCTGTGTTATTTTAATATTTACTTTTATATTAAAAATTAACTAATGTAAAATACTAAAATATGAATTATAATCTACAATTTGATACCAAACTTACTGACATAAATTCATAAAATAGTAGTTCCATAAAAATTTCGAATGGAAGTCAACAAATGAGATGACGTGGCCTTTGATACGTGACCCATCGTGATAGGGTTAAACTATAACACCTAAATGTACATTAAGATCAAATATTATTCCCTAGCAAAGGCAGTTCCACAGTTTCCTCATACTCTGAAAAGGAATGATTATAATACATATTAATAAAATCTTTAAAGCTAAGAAAATAATCAGAAGAAAAACTGAAATATTTGGTATGCATATATTAGTTAGTAACTTTGATGAAAAGACAAAAAGTCTCTGAAATACTCTAGATGAGATCCGATTTCCTATATTCCCAAAACATACTTGCCAGTGCACGTAATTATTTTATACTCTTACACTTGAAATTACATTATCTCATAAACAAGAATAGTGCAGTTTTTTCACTTTTTTTCATCAGTTCACCATCCCCAAAAATCTTTTGCCAGCCTAAAGATTTCCTGGAAGAATTTACTCACCACTGCAAATCTACAAAAATACGTGTATAATACTGCTACATGTGCATTAAGAAATAAAACGTAAATATGAACCGAACAAACACAATAGCATATTACAGACATTATAATTCTATGAGAATACGTAGAACAGTTACCTTCTTGCCTATGTTCTTAAAACACTGTGCAACAGATGATTTGATGACAGGTATTAACATCTGGTTTAACTTGTGTTCTTCATTTTCAAAAACTTTTACAAGCCAGTTCATTAAAGCACTAATGCTACAATTAGCCTTTGTTGCCAAATGTTTAATATATTCTGTGTCAACAGTCCCATGAAGATAAATTCTCTCTAAATATGGAGATATGTAGCTTAGCTTTAGGAAGTGCTGTTCAACCAAATCCTAAGAAATACACAATACAGAAAAATATTTTAATAAAATTCAAAACCAAATACAAATATTCATGTTATAAAAGCTCCACCTTCTCATTCTTTCTATGAAGTGGTAAAATAGATTTTGATTTGCTTACAAGAGCACTTTCCCTGTAGAGCATGGGCTGTTAGCTCCACAAGGAAGCCATCATTACAGTAGACTGCAGACAGTAACACATTCTAACGACTAGTTTATTGTCTCTTTCCTATTTTAGGATTAAATTGTATACTTGAACTTAGGTCCGTAAGTTTAAATTCAGCCTAAATACATTATATTATTAACATTAGGTATACATAAAAGACTAGTTATTGTCACTTCCAATAAAGTTTTAAGTTCTATATAATTAAATATAAATTTTATTACTTTAGTGTGAAGGCAAACTAGTGACGAAAAAAACTAATATAATTGGTTCTTAAACATTAGGTTTAACAGTAACATTGTTGACAATAGGCTACTGGTATTTGTATTGAGTATTTATTTTCAGGCTACAAGTATAAATACAATGGTTAAGACTAGTGTAGGAATTAAGCATTCACGATTTGTTAGGTGTAATGAGTGGGTTTTATTTGGGAACTTGGGACAGGCATGTACTTTTAAGGAAGCTAGTAATTAAGATGTGCAACTTGTATAATGAATTTATAGGTTGGAGGATATCATAATTAAAGTAGAGGCAATAGATAAAAAGAAATGTAAACTGTGGGAAATAGCTGCAGAATTTCAAGTGGAGCTCAAGCTTTTACATGCAAGAGATACATCAGCTAAAAATGACTTTCAAGTAGTTAGAAAGAGTACTATTAGGGCTAAAAGCAGTGAATGTAATTGTAATGAACCTATCCTGTTGAGCAACAAATTTCAGCTCTTGGCTTCTGCAGACAAGGAACTATTGGAGAGAAGGAAAACAAAAGGTTCAGAGAAGGATGTGGATGAAAAGGAGGTTATAGTTATAGACGATTCTTTGAAAAGGCATGTAGATAAGATAGTCTGTGGGGTAGATATGGAGAAAAGAACCCAATTATTCTACCCAGGGACACAGATGGAGGATATAACTGACAGAGCAGGAGATATAATAAAGGGGCTAGCAGAGATGCAGTTTTTGTGGTGAATGTAGGAGCTAATGATGTAGGAAAGGTAGGTCAGAGGAGCCAATTAATAAGTACAAGGGATTGATAAAGGCATTTAAAGAAAAAGGTAATAACTTAATTTTGTCAGGGATACTGCCCAGAATTAACTGTGAGGATGAAGTAATAAGTAGGTCACTAGGGCTAAATGCTAGGCTAAGGTTAGTATATAATGAGTGGAAGAAGGGAGCTTTTTGGAATGCATGGTTTATTTTATGGCTCTAAAAAAAGGCCATTAGATAATATGACAGATGATGAAAAAATCAGTTTCAAACGTTACATGCAATGATTCTGAAGAATCATATCAACCTTCTGATCCAGGAGATAGTGGTAGCACTAATGGAAATATATCTACTCAAGAAGATGATGTCGAAAGTTCATCATCTGAGGATAATGATAATGACTTGGTTACGAGCATGCCTTCATCCATTTGGGGACCCTGCACCAATAATGTTTGAAAATTTGGCTTTAGTGGGGATGCTGATTTAGGAATAAATGTGAATGTAAGTGAGCCATAAGAAATATATAAAAAGTTTTTGACAAAGGATATTTTGGAAGTAATAGTAGAAGAAACAAACAGATATGCTCATAAGTTCATCACTTCCCATCAGCTTCAGTATTGGTCAATGATGCACAAATGGACGGATACAAACATAAAGGAAATAGAGGTGTTATTTGGTATCGTGGGTTTGGAACCGCTCCCAAAAATGTGACTATATTGGTGAAAGAAACCGAGGTATCGAAATAACCTATAGTAAAAACCACGAAGCCCAATAGATTTGACATGCTTCTGAAATGCTTGCTCTTCAATGACAATGGAAGTGCTGTAAATACAGTAAGACTTTCCAAGATCAGTAACATATTTAACCTCTTTCACACTCAGTTTAGAGCAGCTGTGACTCCAAGTGAAAACATGGTGGGGAAGACTGGTTTTCAAGCAATATATTTCAGGGAAACCCCACAAATATGGAGTTAAGTTCTATAACTTGTGCACACCTGAAGGATACACATGAGAAATGAAAATATACACTGGCAAAAAGAACTTGGATTTCAGATTAACTGGGCATGCTCATAGAGTCACAATGGAACTGATGGATGGGCTTTTGAATACTGGTAGGACACTATTTATAGACAATTTCTATACTTTTACAGAGGAATACTTATGTATGTGGAATGCTACAACAAAACAGAAAATGAAATCTGAAGTCTGTATGCCTAAAAAAGTTGAAAATAGGAGAAATCTATGGTGAAGAAAATAATAGTGGTGTTCGAGTGACAAAATGGGCTAACAAAAGACCAGTTCTTATGATGATGACCACAAGTGATCATTCAGATTAACTAGTTTCCACCAGTACCACAAATAGAAAAGGCAAGGACATACAAAAACCATACATGATCGCATACAACACAGTCGAAAAAGGTGTGGATGTCTCCGATCAAATGTCATCATATTACTCTGCCTTCGCAAGACCATAAAGTGGTACAAAAAAAAGTGTTCGTTGAAATTTTGCTGGAAACAAATGTGATGAATGCATGGGTTATTCATGCCAAGACTAACCAGAATCAAAAACCAATCGATATGTTGCAATTTCAGGAAGAGATCATTTCTGGTCTTCTCAATGCTAATAAAGAGAATAATGATACTCAAGCTCAAGCAAATTCTAGTAAATGATCACAAAAGTCTCAGCTTCAGCTTGGCAGTATTATGGATCAGCAAGATCGAACAGAAAAAGATGCAAAATCTGCTATGAAAATATTCAAAACAAACAGGGAGCAAAGGAGGCAAAAAGCAAAACAAAAGGATTACCACATTTTGCAAGAATTGAGATGGTAAACCTCCAATGTGCTCGGAATGTTTCAATTATAAACATCGGTGAACAGAATAAGCTAAGCTATTCATTGTTTCTTTTTTATTAATACTTTATTTTATTCAATACTTTTTTTGCGTAAACTAAAAGTAAATAGTCCTATTTCAACTGGGACGATCGTTATTTGCTATTTTTCAGATGTAATTTCTGATTTTAAACTAAACAATTCATTGTTTCTCCCTTTTTTTCATTTACTTTTTTTAATTATAAATATTTGTTTTTTGCTGAAATTAAAAGCAAATAGTTTTATTTCAATTTTAATGATCGTCATTTTTCAGATGTAACTATTGATTTGAAGGTATTAAATTATTGAACAACATTTAGTTCATTTAGACCCAAAATAAGAGAGTATATGCTCCACGGGTGGTGCACGAATGAAGGAATACTTACATTCTAGCCATCTAAATATAAGGAATATTGCCAGATAGGACATAGGAGATACAAGGTGCCTTTACTCTCAATTGGTGTAATGCATCACCAGTGGCACATAAAATCCAGTAAATATACCACCAGTGGCACCCAATGTTGCAAACATGTTAAGGTATTGGAGTGTTGGCTAGCTGTGATAAGGATGCTGCTGATTAACAAAAGGATTTATATCACTTAGTGAGTTGGGCAAATAAATGGCAAATGGGTTTTAATGATAATAAATGCAAGATAATGCATGTGGGTTATCATAATTTGAATTATAAGTATAATTTGGATGGGGATAAAAACGGCTTTCTTCATCATTTAGTCAAGAAACCTACTAGAAACAATTATTTTAGATTTATTGTTAACTTCAAATGTAGAAATGATTGAGAGGGTGGAAATTGGGGAACATCTGGGTGTAAGTGATCATTGCTCTATTAAGAAATAGTTGGTATAATAGTTGATCAGCTTCTAAAACCATCCAAGGAGTGTGCTTTTGTTAGTGGTAGAGCAAATAGGATTTTAGATTGTATCTATAGAAATATTGAATACAACTCTAAAAAGGTCATAATGTCATTTTATAGGTCACTGGTTAGGCCACATTTGAAATACTGTGTTCAGCCTTGGGCTCCTTACTTTAGGAAAGACACTGAATTGTTGGAAAGCGTTCAGAGAAGACCTAGGATGGAAAGGTTATCATTCAAGGAGAGACTGAAATCTCTCACATTGTTTTCACTTGGAAAAAAGAAGAATTGGGGGGGATCTAATTGAAGTGTTTAAGATTGTAAAGGGAATTGATAGTGTTGATGCATCATCTTTTTTCATAATTAACATTGAAAGTAGTAGGACTAGGGGACACAAATATAAATTTTGAGAGGGTAGGAGTCATCTTTGGCTACGACAGTTATATTTTTCTAACAGGGTGGTTGGCCTTCAAAATGGCTTGCTTTTGGATGTTGTGGAGGCAGTAAGTTTAAGTAAGTTTAAAAGAAAGCTTGATAAGCATATGAGTGATAAGGGCACACACACACTTGTTCCTCTGGGCTGAAAAAGATCAATTTTAATAAATCTTTATTTACTTTTTTGAAGATTTTCTCAAATTATGTTTTTGGTATGAATGAACATCAAAGAAAAGAGGTAATATGCATTTTTCCAACATTTCAAAATTACTAATTTACCTACCTCCATTTTGTAGACTTTACCAAAATATATTATAAAATTATCATTCTGGTTTGACTTCACAAAAATACGAAACAATTGATCCACAGTCTCTTTATCACTTATGGAAAAGTTCCAGCCAAGCTTATTCCTTGAGAAGTTCCAAATCATGCTGGGTAATATACTAGTCTAAATAAAAGATAAAAAATTAAATATAACCTAACATTTAGTACCTTTAAATATAACATTACATATATATTATATTAATACAATAAACAAATTAACAAGACATACACTGTAATATTATCAGAAGAACAATAGTTATAACTGAACTAAACATTAAAACAGCAGCAACTGTATTGTTTAAACTGTTTATTTTGATAAACAAGCTCAAATACAAACAAACATCACTGATACCAACTTTTACACGTAGTTCTGCTCTAAGATTACAAAAGGAAATAAACCATTCTTTACACAGTTATATTTCATAGTAATTGCCCAAAGACAGGGCCCAGAATAACAGTTGGTCAACTCCAAAAAACAAACATTATACGCAAATGCTTTTACAAATGTTCAGTTATGGTGATCTGCTGAATACACATACTAATAAATGACTAACACTTACTTAATAATAATATATTATTTTATGACATTTAACAATTGTTTGACATTTTTGAGTAACTCAACCACTGGAAGAAATTAAATATAAAACAGACAACTTACTATTTATCATGTTATTTGTTCTGTATATCTGAGCTCCAAAAGATTATCATTACAGTTTGTCACATTGCTGTTGATATACAGTTTTGAGATGGTGTTTAGAAAAATAATTAAATATAGTACAAGCATTACTGATGTTGTAAGTTTTACTTCAAATTTGCAACTCATTAGAATGAGCCAATTTATCAGAGGTGTAGTGTAAACAATTTATGATGGGCATCCATATAAAATGTTTGTGCTTTGAAATTTTGCATATGTTTAGCACCAAATCCCACATGTTTTCAGAAGATTTAAATTCTTAATGCCTAACAATCAAATTTCCAAATAGCACACTATTTTCAACATTATTATATTTATGGAAGATGCACATACTTCAGAGAAAGAGTTTGAAGTGTTTTCTTATTTAATTTTCACCTCATTAAACTTACACTAGCAAACAGTCATACATCTTGAATAAATTTCATATTCACTTCTGGTCTGTTTTATATCTACTTAGGGTCAAAATGGTAAGTAAAATAAATATCCTTATGAAATTATATATTATTAATAAATGTTCTTCTACAAAAGTCATCATCATTGAAATATATTAACATAATATACAAACACTATAAATGATAAAATCAAGATATAACACCAGATCATATGAATTACCAACTGTGTTTCAGCTGGATGACATTGAGCTTCATGACCACATGTAACAATTTTAGCTGTCTAACATTTAAGTGTATAAATATCGTAGTTTGATGTTTTAAAGTAATATTTATGCGGTAATATTTCTATGATAACTGTCAACATTCTATTTAATTACAAGTGGTAAACTCCTTTGAAAAGTATATTTCCCATGTATTTTTATCTTAGAATCCAATTATACACTGATGTACTCTAGATCAGATTCATTATTCCCTACACAATAATGTTATCACTAACTATAAAAGGCTTATTTCCTTTGTCACTCTGTCGAGAATGCTTTCATACTCCTTTTTTGGTAATGTTCGAAAAATATACATTCATCACTTAGCCAAAAATCTATCACCAGATTGTTCTTAAACCAACAATGGTGTTTATGTTTAATGCTCAATATTCATTGACTTGTGAGAAAGGTTTGTTTTTTTATGCTATACATTTTTTTAATATCTTCAGTGATATAGCTTAATTCAGAAATTTTATGACATTGAGTTGTAGTCAAAGGCAAAATAAAATTTATAAAGTAGTGTTTCAGCTAAGCCTTACGTTATGTTTATGTAATACACCTAATGCTTAAATTAGACTATAAATAGGCCTATTACTAATGTTATAGTCAGTGTTTAAAAAGTTTTATGTGGTGAATAAATGCTAATTAATAAATATTCTTTTGGTATTTTAACACATACATTAGCTACTTGACTTTAAAACAAAAATAAACATTTACTACTAGCAAATATCTTTTATCCTTTGTACAGTAAAAAAAAAAAGAGTTGAAAATTTGTATCAGAATGGCCACACATTTTCTACTTCCTGACCTAAAATACAGTGAAAAGGCTCAAGAATGCTATTTAAAAGTCTCTTTCAGAGTGCACACGTACTTTTGTTCACAATAACAGTTCATTTTTCTGCACAGTTTTTACTAAAAATGTAGTGATTAAAGAATTACTTCAAGACTGATGAAACATGTGAAGAGTGTAGACAAATTTGTTTTGGTCAAATCCTATAATTTTCGTTAATCATTCAACAATGTTTCCCATCGTTTTTGACTGGCTTTTATACTAGTATAATGTATAGATGTCAAAATAACTAACAATATAATGTTAAGCAGGATAAAAAGTATTTATAATACATAGGTTAGTTAGTACTTGAATGACCAATTACTTTCGAGTGCTGAACAATAAAAAAAACAGTATATAACACTGAATACCATGGATTATTTGGATACCAATTTTCTAGGTTTGACCCGAGAGATTTCTTTTGCACCTATAGCTTTTACCTTTAACCAAATGTAATATTTTGTTCCTAAAAAATATAAAAAAAATTTTACTTTGTTAATTATTGTAAAAAGTTACAACATATCCTGTATAAATTATAGATATTAAAAAACTATTTTTGTGAGATAGGGTAGGGGGAGAGAAGAAGCAAGAACATGTACATATATATCTTACCTCACTTGTAAAAATAGCTTTTTTCTCATGAAACAGAGCATCTTTACCTTGATTCCACCTACCAGTTACATTGATTGTGAGAAATGGATGAGAGAAATTCATTGATTCACCTCCAGGATTATCAAAGTCAAATACCTCTACAATGTGTAAAAAACATAAAAAACTTTTGACTTTTCAGTCTAATGGCATTCTTAAGATTTAAAAAACAAGTACAAATCTGATGCTTAAAAATATTTTAATAACAATTGATTATTATTATTTTTAAAAAACAAAAATATTTATTTTTCACAATGAAAGGTTATTATCGATCATCAGAGTCGAACAAAACATTTCTTCTCAATTAACCTTCACCAAGTGTTCCAACAGATAACGGAAGATGTTACTCTTCAAAATGTATGAAAAAATTTTAACATATATTATGGAATTATTTTAAAATTAGTTGTTTTAATTATTCTTGTAAGGTTGAATTAGTTTTTATTTGATAACGCAAGATACATAACTGAATTACTATATAATCTACTAAATCTGGAAATTTCTAATTTCCTTATTTGTGCGAAAGTTAGTCTAAATTTTTTAATATAAAGATGACAGTTTTGTTTTTAAACATATGTACCTCCTTTTTCCACCCAAAAGTTTTGATAAAGGATTAGCCATCAACTTCCAGAAATATATACCCCATAGAAACACCTGGGTAAAAAAAGGTTTTCAGCGACAATCACTGAATAACACCCTTTCCCTACTTGTTATAGGGCATGATATTCAAGCTTCATATTGAATCACTTTCAGAAGTAATTAATAGTTCATGATCAGTTATCACTTACGTTGTAATTCAGAGTTCAACATGTCCCACATTTCTGAGGCTGTGTTTATACTGATGAACATTAGAGAACCACTTGAAGATTTTGATTTACACTGCTTAACAATACTGGATGAAAAATTCACAGCTGATGACAAAAAACTGTGTTGAAGTTTGAAAGCTGCACATCTTGACCTTGTTTGGTCAAATGTTAGATCATAAACAGTCCCTCTTCCAGTGGATATCTGATTCAAAGTAGACTTGTGTGTGATGACCACTTGGCGATTAGGAAGTACAGCATAATGTGAATGAGATTTTATTATTATATCAGCTGGAAAGATCAGAAGCTTGCTATCTTCATAGAAACTGTAAAAAAAAAATCTCATTATCAGATCTAATAGTGTTTAAGTACAAAATTTGTTAACCATGATGTCAGAAAAACACATAGGTTCAAGAAGTGTTAATATAAAACAATAAAAATCCTGAAATATGTGAAAAATCAGTGTTTTAGCTAGAAGGTTAGACTAAGCAAAACATGGCACAATTCACCATTTTAACGTTGTGAAACTTTATTTGAATTAAAATCTTCAATCTCAATAGCATTTTAAATACACGAGTTAAATAGCCAGGTGAGAGATCTCAAACTCCTTAGGTACAATTGTTTGTAAACAATCTGTTGACCCGAGGAAGGGCAGTCAGCCAGCAACAACTGCTGCTACTAACACTCTGCAGCTCTTTGAACTGAATAACAACATTGACTAGCGTCACAGAATCAGTTAAAAAATAAATTTAATTTTTATTTTTCTAACAGGGTGGTTGGTCTTTGGAATGGGTTACCTTCAGATATGGAAGATGCAGTTAATTTAAAGGAAGGCTTGATAGACAATTGAATGAAAAGGGATGGCTTTATGTATTTTATTTTAGAGTTTAGTACAGTGGATGGAATGGCCTAGATGGCCCAATATACCGTATTTTTCGGAATATAAGACGCACCGGTGTATAAGATGCACCCTTATTTTGAAGACAAAGTTTTGAGGGGAAAAAAAGCTACAGTCACATTTGAAAGATTTTTATTGAACAAAAATTCAATTTGATACTGTTACGTCTCCGTTTGTTAATTAACTTTCCATAACTTCGTTCCGACGAAATTTTAACGACACAAGTCTTTACTTAATAAAACTGGTTTATTCTTTCCGAATATAACTCTGCGATACACTTAATCTCAATATTCGCGCTAAAACAAACAGTATCACGAACGAACGTTAACTTCAACAATACCCTGTGACTGCAGTTCAATTACTCACTGACTACACACACATTATCTCTCTTTTATATACCAGCGTACCCTATTTCTAGTAAGAACTTGAACATTCGCCAAGTTACATGATAGTTCTAGAAACGTTGCGTCACGGTGGTCATGTGACTCGCTGACGCAACAATACTTTAAAAATGAGTATATATTGTTCTAAACACAAAAGAGCTCAAGACATCAAAATAAGAAAATACCGTAAATCAAAAAAAGGTTTACTGTTATTTAGTTTGGTTCAAAACCTACAAAATCTTCATTGCTTTCACTGTAATTCATTTTTTTATTATTTAGGGAGCATTATAAATAGTTATGTTTTTAAAAGAAAAAAAACTACTATTGTTATAAATAACACATTCAATTGAACTAAACTGTGCATGCCTATTTAAATATATTTACACATGGCATGTGTATATTGTATATATTATTCATACCTTCGGTGTATAGGACACAAGCAGATTTTGACATCAAATTTTGGGGTAAAAAAAGCGTGTCTTATACACCGAAAGATACAGTATCTCTTGCTGTTCTTAAGTTATAAGTATGTAACTTTAATAATGCATCTACATCTCAAAGTGTTCAATAGCAACACATTTTGAATTCTGGACTCTGATCAGCAGTCCAACATTCTAACCACTGAGCCACACACTGTCCGCTAAATTTTATTAAACTCATCAATGGAAATTGTGCTAGTCAAAATAATATTTTTTCATTGCCTCTCCAATCTAATTTCTGAAGAAATTTGAAAGTATACATTATATTGATTTCCTCACAGAAGTTATTACATCTGATTAATGCATATGGTATATCTATAAAACATTGTAATATTCGATGTACTGAAAGGTTTTTAAATGCTCAAACACCATCACAAAAAAAGACATACTACAACATATTTTTAAAATTATTATGAATTTCTGCCAGCAATATTTCTTCACCGTACCTTCTAAAATAAGATTTTGAGGTAGATTCAAAGTTCTTATAAACTCCCTGAAACTGTACAACTTCTTCATTATTAGGCAAGAAAAAAGTACAACTGACTGATGTTGAACTGCCTTTCATATATTCACTGTCAATGGTAAATTTTGTAGTATTGGTCAGATGGCGAGTTGCATATTTCAAGTCCTTGAAATTAACGTTTCTAGTAACGTGGAGCTTAATCCTATCTTTACATCTTCCATGTTGTTCTGCTTGGCTGCTTTCTTCTTCCTAAAACAAGATGAAATATGTTGCTTTTTCACTTTCTATATAAATATAGATGACTTTATGAGGTGAACTTGCTATCTTATTTTTACGTAATATCTAGGTTCATTTTATTTGTCTGTCTTTAAGCGTGATAGTTTTTCTTCTTTAACATGTTGTCTCAAAAGCTATTTTTTAACATACACACAAAATTTTTATTTTAGAGTTGCATGTAGTAAGATAATCCTACAAGGAAAGAAACATGACTCACCATGACAGAAAGTCATTACTAAACATATTAGGTAAACAATCAAGCCAACTTCAATCTCTGTAGGTTGTATCATATAATTAGATTTTAGGTACATATATAATGAACACAAAAATTATTTGCTAAAATTATTAAAAAATATATTTCAAATAATAGGACATTATTTATAAGGAACAAGAGGGAGTATTAAAAATAATTTCCAGCACAAATGCAAGCATTAACATTGATTGGAGCATCTTTTGTTTCCGAGAAAGAATGCCACATAATTCAAAATTTATTTTGTTTTAATTGTTGCTTTAAGATTCAAAGTGAATACATTTATAAAATATATCTGGTGAAGTGTTAAGTAAAGATGGATATATTTATAAATGATGTATAAAAAAAATATTTGAAGAGAAAGTAATTCAAAAATTATTTGTTGATGGCCCCCATTTTCATTTATACTTGTATACTGAAAATTTTAAGTCATAAAAATACTTAATAAATACTTCTGGCAATACATAAGAACAGCTTTTACCAATATCTTCTTTAGAGATGTAACACCTGCTACTTTACAGAGGTTCCAAAAATTCTGCTTCAGTGTTCCATTATTGTTTTCTGAGCTAGTTGATTTTAGGATCCAAGAAAATTCGGGGAAAGACACAATGTACAAGCTGACATCCTTGGAAGTGCTGAGTAAATTCCTTGACAAGTACATAATTTCTGCCAATGTCTACCAGAAAATTGAGCATAATATTAGTGGATATGGAAAGATCAGAGCAGGAAAATTAAAGGTCAATCTAGTGCATAAAACTTGAAGTGTCAAAAAAATGAATACATATATTCTACCTACACATTTGAATAACCAACAAAATTTTTTACAGTGAATCTAGACAGTTTTTTTTTTATTGGGTCTGAATTGCCTTATCTGCCACAAGTCACAACCAAGTAAGATTTGCAGATTCAGTAAACTGGCAAGGTTAAGTGATGTACAAAATGTTAAGATGGTATATCACTGTATTAATCAAAAATGTATTCTGTGTTTCTGCTATGTAATTTTTTTTAATAATAAATATTATACAGAAATTCTAAATACTGAACAGAATAAGTTAACTAAATCAAATTTTGAATGAGATTTTTGGATTAAGATCTGTGCCAAACATTGTGACTTAGAATGATGTACCATAAAATTAACTGCATTTGAAACAAAGTAGTTAAGTAACTCACAACTCATGGTATAAACAAATGAACATATCCAAATTGAAGTAACTTACACAATCATAGAAAGATGAACAAAACAATACAGTAAATAGAGAACTAAAATATCCAAAGATCACCTCCATATTTAAAAAACAAATGGTCATGTGGAGCACTATCCCTTTATAAAAAAATTAAGCAACATTTCACAATAATGGCCAGAATCAATACACTGTAGTATGCTTATAATAAAGATCCTTGTATGTTAACATTACCAGTAAAAACCTTACCTAAACCCAATGGAGTCAGTAAAGGGTTGAATTACACTAACCTAATTCCAACAACTTACCCTTGAGTCCTCCAACAGTCTTCTAGCATGAACAATCTTCACAGATCTCAAGGAGTATCTATCAATACTGCTAGATGTAGAACACATTTGAAAATCTGAATTTGGAGTTGTAAGTGTGTAGAATGATTCTTGCTCTTCCCAAGAAGCTCTTAACTTTACCCAGATCTTGTTTTTTCCATCCCAAAATTCTGAAGGGAAGACCTTCACCAACCATTCCAAGTTATTTGAATGGTCTAAACTACACAAAAAAAGGAAATTAAAATTTTTTATATAAATCTTTATGTGAAGAAAAATATGAAAGGCTTTTGAAATATACGTTACATCAAAATTAAAGATTAAAGGCTATGAAAAAAAAAATTAAGAAAGCTAAAATACCAAAAGAATGTAATTTCTTGAGGCATAATATCTAACATACACTGTGGCACGTTACATCAAAATTAAAGTATTAAAGACTATGAAAAAAAAATTAAGAAAGCTAAAATACCAAAAGAATGTAATTTCTTAAGGCATAATATCTAACATACACTGTGGCATTTTTCAATATGTTAATATGCTACATGATAAAAATAAGGAAACTGTTCTAAATAGTTAAATACCAGTTAAGTAAAACTGTTACTAACAAGTATGCTGAAGGTCTGCAAAATGGGAGGTTTGAAAGGAAATAATTATAAAAAAATAAACAATAACAGAAAGAAAGATAAAGCACACAAAAATGTACCTAGAAAAAGTAAGAATCTTATTTCAAAGAAACTGATTAGCTTTTAGCATTGACCTCTTAAAGTGTCTGATTCCTGAATTCTTAAATAAAAACATCTTCACAAGACAAAATAGGAAGTATTATGTTAATATCACCTCTTAGTCAGAACAGTCATAGTGCAGTATCCCATTATCCTAGATTACCTAAATCAGCAATCATTCTTATTACATTTAAAGGGAGATTAACTTCTAACTAATACTGATTTGTACAGATTCTTGAACCACTCCTTCATTTTGATATGATCCACATCTCAAGGAATAGTCGATACATAAGCTTTTCCAGATTAATACAAGCTCTGTTGAATAACCACTGTGGTGTGGTATCTTTGCTCAAGATGGTTATTGATATAGGTCAGGATCAATTATATCCTATTTGTAAGGATATCAACAAAATGCAGAGTACCTGCAAGAAAAGTTTGAAGACTTCATCTGAATAAAGATATATTAAGTTTTCAATTTATGGAAGAGTAAAACATGAATTTTTTCAAATGCCACATTCCCCATTTTTAAGTCCGAGCTGTAAAAACTAGCAATAAAGACAAAATCAAGAAGTCTAAGTAACTTGGCCTCAGTTTCCATAATCATTCTTTTAGAATGAATAAAAGAACCATGACACATATGGGACACACAGAGGAAAATCTTTATTAACAAAAAGGCTTCAACACCACGATTTTCAGCCCATGAAGTGTCAGCTCTGGTCCATCAGGAGTTCACCACTTTGATGCTACAATCAGAACAAACTGATGATTGTCTTAACAACGTTTTCCATGATCTTTTAGTTTTCGATTATTTAATACAGATATTCCACATTGTGAAACTACATTTCAATTTTCCTCCCAAAAATATGACAATCATGACGTGTAAAATCCAACCTGTTATTGTGAAAACAGTCTCATACATCAGCAGAGATTTGCTTATTTTGAAAGGTAATTATCACTTGCAACCAGTTTTTTTGTTTGCAAAGCTACATGAGGGCTATCTGCACTAGCCATCCCTAATTTAGCAGTGTAAGACTAGAGGGAAGGCAGCTAGTCATCACCACCCACCACCAACTCTTGGGCTACTCTTTTACCAACAATTAGTGGGATTGACCATCACATTATAACACCCCATGGCTGAAAGGGCAAGCATGTTTGGTGTGAGGAGGAATCGAACCCGCGACCCACAGATTGCGAGTCGAGCTCCCTAACCACCTGGCCATACCAGCCCCACTTGCAACAAAAAAGACTACTTATTACTGACTATGCTTATAATGGTTGACGTTTTAAATGTTTCATTACTGGATGTATTCACAATGGTAACTAGCAAGACTGGAGCAAAAATATCTAAATATCAATGTGTCCTCATCCTACTCATGGGAAGCCGCAAAAGGAAATTATGTCAAATACTGAACAAACTCCCTGCACCACTCCTTCACTTAAGTAACATTCATAACTCAGATACATACAATATAAAAGACTGGCCATGTGAGTATAAAACTCTTAAATGACCACAGTGATATGTAAAATTATCCCTAAGAGCATCAACTAAGCACAAAACATATGAATGAAAAATTTACCTGAATAAAGCTGTATAATTTTGAATGTATAAAATTGTAAAACCTGACAGTTTTCAACTGCCAAACTTATATACATACCTTTCATATGAAAACACCACCTCTGCAGTTTTACTTCTGTGCTGTAACATGTTCCTTTTTTCACATGAATAGCTACTATATGGGGTTTCAAACTCCACTTTTTTATGTTTCAAGTCAGTCAAGACATGAATAATCTGTCTGGTTTCATTTCTATATATGATGTCTCTTTTCTGGCTTTTCTCACTCTATCTAAACACAAACATGATTTTGAATACATGTACATCAAACATCTTTATTCAGGCATCCATCAAGTTATCTTTTTTATGCTACTCTTATTACTAAAACACTCATAAGGTGTCATATCCCATGGGCTTCCTTTGGATGTTTTCTTAACCCATTAAGTCCCAGGGAGGATGTACCATGGAAACCTTTAAGAATTTTTTGTATTTTATTTAAAAAAGATGTCAAATAAAAGAGGTTCATGCTGTTTAGCACTTTTATTCACTGAAAAGTTACAGGGTGTACTCAAATGAGTACAATGGGATTATATGTATCCATTATTGAAAATAAAACTTTCACTTCAAACAAATACCTAACAGTAAGAATTAACTATCACACATATGTAGTCAATCTTATTTTTTTATTTATATATATATTAATAGTTTAGATTTATACTGTAATAACTTAAACTTTTCAACTTTAACATTCATCAACTATATTATTTTCAATCATAATTTCTCAAATGTATCCAATATGTGATAAAAAATACACAGTCCATAACTGTATTTTCTACGAGTTTGATCAAGCAGTAAACAAGAAATGACACACAATGAAAAAGCTCAAGCATTTTAACAAGTTTGGCTCTTCTTAATTACAGTAATATTTAGTTGTTTTTTGTTTTGCTTTTTGTCACCACACTATTTAAAATGCAGTCAAAAATCCTAAGCTCGAAGCACACAGACTTAAGATACACCAATTTAACAATCAAAGTGTACTTTTCTTTACAACTCATTTTTTTCATTTCTTTTTATAAATAATAATCAAGGGAAATAGGCTCCTAATGCGATTTTATGGGGAAAAAAAATGAAGGATTTTTTTTAAAAAAAGCACTCCCTATTCCATCTGTTAAAGTATTTCTTCTCTCTTTTAATAGATTTGTTCATAAACATTTAAATAAAAACTTAAAAAACAACAGGCAAGTGTATAAAACTGTAGATTATACTTACACTGTATGAAATTTTGTACTTTTTACCTTCAGTAAACTCAAATAAAACTAGAGAGTAACATCCAGATGTCAGGTTTTTCTGAAGTGAATATGTAGAAACATAAAGCTTCCACCAAGGCCACTCTGGAGCAGACACTTGAACAGTACCTTCTCTTTTAATCAGATCTGCTTCTAACTTCAAATTTATTTCTCTTCTGTACATAGAACCTACAAATGTTCATAGAAGAACAGTAAACAATTCTAGCATATTTCCTTTCATCAAATATACGAACACATCTTATAAAAATTATAAAACAGTTATTAAAAAGCAATCTGTGTTAGCTGGCTACTGTTTATACGTGGGCAACAATAAATAAATAATATAATAAACCTTAGCTACAGAATACAGAAACACTAGCTGTCTGCTTGAACTATTGTCATAGAAAAAAACTGTTTTGTAAACAAGAGCTTAGCATAATATACTTGTTTCCTTCATTCCTACACCCTATTAAACTCTCTGAACAACCAAAAAAAAACAAAAAACTCATAAGTCACCTTTACTGTCTGGTGTTGCTGTTTAAACTGTCAAATTTGAAGCAGTAATTTTCTCACAGTACAAACAATAACTAATGTTTATGAAGATACAAAGAATAAATAATAGCTTAAATGCTTGAACTATAAATGAAAACAAAGCAATGTTAAATGTAAAACGAAGAAAACAACATGCTAAACATAACGCATGATGTTTAACAAACTTTGTCAATCTTGTTTGAACAAACACATACATCTGGCTGCAGGAAGTAATAAATTTTGTTAAATCTTCTGTAAAAGCTGAAAACAAAACATAATAAGCATATTAGAAACAATAATACTTAGACAGAAATGATACAACAGTCATTAACATGGCAAAGAAAGTAATGATAAAAAAATAACGTAACAAACTAATGATGTAATTGTAATGTAATACTATATACAAACTGTTATCTAGCTTATTTAACTATACATAATAATAACTTCAACTAATGGCAGGTTAAACCAATGGTTTTCGATACTAAAGCCATTCAATATTATCATAAACGTCCCAAGATAATAAAGTGTAGATGTGAAAGTTTTTAACAGGTCACGATACTCTGTAAATTTTCCAAACCCATTACTTGTAGCATCTGTAAAATACAATCAACCATAGTGACCTACCAACTTACTCATTCCCACACGGTTCTGTGAAAATGTAGATTATGTCTCCTCTTTCTTTATGTATCTTAATAAAAGTAACATAAGTGACAATGCTTATCATTTGAAACAAGATTGATTCTTCATCAAAATTGTGAATGTCTTTTGTTTCTTGTAAACACTTGAATCTATTTGCTTTGTTTTTCTATTTTTTTAAATAAAGAAAACTCTGTTAAGTCTTTCTTTACTTACATTGTTTGATTTAAAATTCAAACTTACATTTTCTGCCAAATCTCTTGTTTGAGTGGTTAATACACTTAACTACAAGAAACAAGTAAACTTGAGAATATCACAACCTTCATCAAACAATAAAAACACCATTCTTATTAAGAACTAAGGCAAATAGTAGGCCAAAACTTGGAATGAACAAGCCATTGGAATACAATGAGCTCTATTTTGTATGAACTTACAAAAGAAAATTCCGTGTATATATATATAGACAATCCAGAAATACTTTAATGCCAATATTTTATAACTAATATATTTTTGTTATTAATTTTCAAATAAATCTCTGAAGTGATGTGTACTACTGTGAATGATTTTTTGAATTGTATTTTAGCATTTTTTATTGATTGCAACAAGTATTTTCACTGTTTCATTTATCATTAACTTTTATAAATGTAACAAACTGATAAATATGTAACATAATTTGTATATTTTCAGTGATAAGTTTCAATGTTATTACTGTTTATTTTACATAATTATGGTTTTTTCCTTAAAATCAATTGTTATACACACCATATTTCCTGACTGTTTAACATTTTTTGAATTTGTATTCTGCACAATGTTCAGAGAGCCTGAAAACAGTTCTCAGAACAGGACTGATAGTTCACTTTTATAAGAATTTGAATGTAAACTTTATTTTTTGTTATAATACTGAGTTTTTAATAACTACATTAAACTAGACTAGAAGGGCACTCAGTAGAGTGCATACCTCTGCCATCACAGTGTTGATCATATTCAACTCTCAAAAAATATTAAAATGTGTCCATATGTCCATCATTATCAATGAACATGGCATGGATCATTTTTGGCAGGACAATGTGGAATAATATTCTACACATGTCCATCAAGTTTTATCAAAATCTGACTGAGTTATAGATCAAAAACATTGTGAAAAATCAATCCCCATGTTACTAACTAAGAATTTTTTTTGTGACCTTCCTGTGACTTTGACCCTCCAAAGACTAACAAGTTCTAAGGTGGGTCATAGTCCAAATGTATACCAACTTTCTTCCAACTCCATTCAGCCATTTTTGAGAAATCTTGCTGACAAACACACAGGTGAAAAAATAACTTCCATCCACCTTCAGTGGTTGAGGTAACAAGTTTAATGTTTTTATTTACTAAAAACAAACCTGAAAGCTACTTTTTAAGTTAAAGTACAAATTGAAATTAGTTATAGACTTGTTTACTTTATCAGTAAACTAAAATTTAATATAAATATAAAGCAAATTATTCCATAATCTTCTGAAAGAGAATTAGTGAAGAGATTGAAACACTTATCTATCCATTTCATTTAAAAACAATCGGTTCTGACAGAAAGGTAAAAATAAAAGCAAGAAAAATGATTACCTGTTGCAAACAGTTTTATAGTAGAAGAGAAAATCCCCTTGTTTGAAGGAAGATGAGTATAGATAACATTATAGTTATCTAATTCACTGCAAAATAGTTATAAAAGTATATATAAACACGATGATACATCTTTCATGTATACATGTTCAGTTCTAAATATTACCTAACAAGCAACTGAAGTGTTATTTACATTAATAACAAACCCTTCATTCCAAAGTGATATTGTCAGTGCAGCATTAGTACACTTGTTCATTCCAAAATTTAAAACAGAATTCATTTACAATAAAAATGTAATGATTCTATAGACTAGGAAAAAAAAAAGAAATTTGCAATATTGTTATTACAAATTCATGTTTTTTTTGTTTTGTAATAAGTGTGAACTGACTGTTATTTTTGGTGTAGTAAAAGGTGAAATTATCAGGAATTTTCAGTTTTCTTTTTTATTTATTAGAATGTCTTAAAAATTGAACTTTTTTAAGTCAAATACAATAATTTTTAAATACTATTTATATAAATATCTAAAATTCCTAACATGTTGCATGTTATCAATAAACTACACTAACTTAAAATATATACTTTAACCCTCTTGCTGTAAGCAGGTCAAGGTGAGCATCTCAACCTTTTAGTTACATTAAAAATTTAATAAAACAACTTTATTATTGATGTACAGAAATAAGTTTGGCATCAAAATGTAGTTAACAAATTACATTTTAATAACATATAAGTTTGAAGTTCTCAATTTTAAAAGGAAATATTTTTAAAAAAATCCTCACTCGCCCAAGTATGATAACCATGACTTTTTCTCTAGGTCTTCTCCATTCTCCAAATTATTTACCACCCCTCTCTGAAGATCGGAATTTAAAATAAATTACTCATTATAATATACGTATTACTAAGGCAAAGTCTAACTTTTATAGTTTTCAATCTTATTTGTTTAAACAGTCATAAACTAGAAAATCATATCTACTTCTCCCACCCACCTGTCATATCCTCTCTTTCACAAATTGCCAATAGCTCTCTCTTACGTTTTATATTGTATTTTTTATAACCAATAGAAAAGCATAGTTTTAATCTATCAGATGATGTATTCTATTACACTGTTTTCGGAATAGAGTATCATCTATTTTATCTTCAGTTTGAAAATTTCTCTTTCAGTGTTCAGCTCGAGAAGTTTTGGGAATGTTTCAAAGACTCTTATATCATAGTTAGAAAGTCAGTTAAATTATGGTAGCTCTAGAACAATGTTTTTTTTTTTATGTGAATTTTATTATTCTTTGTTCTTAAGTGCATTATTTAAGAAAATATTAATTACTTAGTGTACTAGTACCATTACAATAAAAAGTAGGCTTAAATGAGAAACATAGATAAGATAGTGAAAAATGATGATAATAAAAATTATTCTTGAGGTATGCTCGCAAGCAGCTCATGCATTACATAATTCAATACAGTAATGCAAGTTAATAATTTGCTAAGTGATTTACAGCTTGTGTACACGACATCATTATTAGTTAGACACAGTTCAAAGGGCAATAAAATAATAAAAGTATAAATGGTTGTTAAATGTTACAAGCTTTAAGCTATTTAGAATAAGCAATTGTAGGTTCCTGTTACAATCTGCAATCACTCTAGAAAGAAAAAGAGGTAATTTTGATTTATTTTGTATTTATTTCATGGTGGTTACAAGATCAGTCAAATCGACCAAGTCTTTATACATTTAGGGTAGTTAAAATAAATCAAATATAAAGTTTTACTATAAAAAACTTTTAAAACCTACTAAATAAATATCAAAGGTTTTACAAATGAAAGTTGAAAATTTTCAGATGAAGAAAAGTATTTTTAATATTAACACAAAAAGCACTTTGCATTTGAAGCAGTTAACATTCTGACTCCACATATTCACGGAAAAATATTTAATTAAAAAATCCGATTTTTTGTGTACAAAAGACATTTAATGTTTACTGAAACTTTGCCAAATTTCATGAAGGTACACACAAAAAATATCAAAGGCTATAGTAAGGAAACTCTGATGGTTACTTTATTGTTTTATTGTCAGTCACACTGACCAAGCCTACATGGAAAAAAAAAGTTAACTACTATGCAAAAAAAATAATATATATATACATTTCTATAGGACTGAGCTGAGAAACTCCACACTTACTTGTCATAAGACTTACTAACGAAACTCCATGTACTTGAGGTGATAATGAAGCTACAAGGAGGTAAACCTTCTACTTCTATCAAGGAATTTCTGTAACACGCCTGTCTTCCCAGTACTGCACTCAAAGAATCACTAGTGCACCACTCTCCTACAATTCTCTCTTTATATTCTTCTTCTGCTATTTTTCTTTTCTTACACTCTTTTATCTCGTCTGTGCTCCTCCCTTTTTTACTTTTTGATCCTTCCTTTTCAATCTCCATTTGTTCCATTCCCAACTTCTCTTCTGGCATTTCTTTTTCGTGTTCAAATTTAATATAATGGATTGTGTGGCTGAAAACCATAAGATGTCTCATATTATGCATACATAATTTAATTACTCTAACAACCACATAAAATCCTTAATATAAACAAGTCTTCTCATACATTACAAACATTGGTAGCATAATCTAATTCTTTTCTCCCTATTTATCACACAGTCTATCCTATCCACATGTCTTGTCAGTGAATCACCTATACATATAACCTCCATAAGTTTATCGTTCACATCCTTCTCTGTCCCTTTTGTTTTCCTTCCCTCCAATACTTCCTCATCTGCATAAGCCATTTGCCTGTTAAATTTTGGCCAATTTCATTATTTTGTTCTCGTGAACTCGGTTATTTTGAGGAATTCAGAACTAATCTATAATAGATATCTTGCTGAATCTCCTGTTATTCAGCAAACATATTCTATAACTCTAAGATAAATCAGTTTAACATGAATATACCACAGAGGGCCGAAACAGAAGTTGAACTTTCCAAACTGCTCAAGAAGACATTTACAAAGTCTAGATGTGTAATGAAGAAATGTTTTAAATATTAATGCACAAAACATGCAACCAATTGTGTAAAATGCAGTAAAGGTTCATCAAAGCAAGAAATGAATGCACAAAACAATCTGAATTCTATCAGTGTTTTTCTTAATGTGACAGAGCATCCTATTAACATGGTTGCTGTAAAATTTTTATCGTTTTGTGCAGTATTTCCTTTATTATGTAGTTTTTCCAAGATATTTGACAGCAATATGATATAATAATATAAATATTTTTTTTACCAATCATAACTTTAGTTTCCAATGGATCATACATTAATTTCTTGATCCCATTTTTTAACTTTTTTGCTTGCAGTTATCTACTTTTAAAACAATTATTAATTACCTTTACATTGATACCGAATACTACACACTTATAAAATATTTAAGCATACTAGATGAAATTTTTATAAGCTCTACCCCTTTTTGTGAGGTTTTCTATGGGATCTCCTTTTAAGGATAATTAAAGTAAGATGGCTGATGGGGCAAAGTGTAATTTACTTTGGGAAATGAAAAATGGCCCCAGTTCTGTGAAGATTATTATTTTACACCGTTGGGTAAACCAAAATAATTATATTGATCATAACATACAACTTATGTTTCTGATTGTAAATGTATATTACTGGTTTCAGAGAAACTTATTCTTAATTCTTCATACAAATACAATCATGGAATACTATATCCATTGAAAGAAGTTTCACATAATCTAAGTATAGCTTGAAAAAAAAAGCCATAAGTAGACAATTCTCTAAACTACAAATCATTAAACATGATCTACAAATAAAAAAATGGGCAAACTTGAGAGCCCCAATTAATTTTTGGTATATCCTTGAAAATAACAGGAACTGCAGTAAACTTTACGAAAATAACCTAGTCAATGACGCCTATCATATAAATGAATTTCAATAGTTAGTAATACCAGGTAAATGAGCTGCACTAAAGTTATTCTAAAAGTTTTCCCCCTTTGATATAACAACATAATGCATCACAAAGTCTCCAATTATAAGAAACATTCCATTCATGTATTTCAACAAAATACATATAAGACTGCAATCTATTATGTGATTACATTTTCAGATATACGTTTCATAAAATAAACGAAACATTGAACAACTTTTAAACAGCATATAGTATTTCCAGCCTGAACCTTTATTCCTATTGCAATGGCACTGAGCACTTTCAGTTGTTAGTGTACTGTAAGACAGACAGTCAATTCCATTGTTTGGTTCAAAGCCCTTGTGGCAGTAGGTGTTACTGACTGGGTACCCTCTGTTTGGTCAAAAATTCAAACTCAAGACTGAACCTTAGGGGGCTTCTGATCTGGCCATTTATAGCTCATATGCTCACAAGGTTCCATTTAAGTTGAAAATACAAAATAGGAAAAAAGTAAATTAGCAATTTATCAGTATATCATATCTACATGCCAACACTAATGTGTAAACTTTATATATTCTTTAACACAAATTTGTTTTTGAACCAAACATTTTTTAAGTTATAAGACACAAATTACATGGCAGAGTGATATATTCTCCTTAAAAAAAATTTATGTTCAAATCTATGATTTAAGATAGGTTAGGTTAGACTATTAATAACTTGAATTTATGCGATCACTGATTATGTTTACAATACTTTACTGCAAATAAGGAAACACTTTCTCTAATCCATAAAAAAAAGTTAAACTCTGATTTTATTTTCAGAATGTTAAGAACATTTTAAAATACTAAACTCATATTCTTTCATTTTAATAGCAATTACAATATATTCCATGTAAACTCACAAAACTTTGAAATATTCCTGCTCCTTCTTAGGCTCTTTAACAGATAATTTATACTCGTGTCTATTCACTACATCCAGTGTAAATTCCCATTGGGTTGACATATATAATGATTGGTTGGATTGAATACCAGTCCATGTCATGTATGGAACATCCAGCATCACTTGATTGGTCACAGTGAAACCTGCACTAAAAATCAAATTTCTGTTGAAAAATTACTTTAGGACTTTTAAAATATATTAGATGTTGTTTACTTCAGAGCTACAGGATTAAATAAATGGAAAACTTGTGTTCTTATTACCACAAATTAAAAACAAATATATATATAGAAAATTACTTCACAATTATATTGAAAATTTTCTTGTGATTTCTATTGCATTGTTAAACAGAAAGCTGGTTTGGTGACAACTGACAAAATAAATGAATTACTTTCTCTTAACTGATTATAAAAGACAAATACAAAAAAGATCTAGTAATTATTTTTATTGGCAGTTTTTTTCTAAACAGATATTCTATTAGTGTGCAAATATATAATGTAATTAATTATTGTGAAAACCGGTGTAGTATTATTATTTCGTAGCTATAATAATTGTTTTCTTATGAGATTTTTGAAGATATAGAATGGGTTTAATACCGTTTCAATTTTGAAACACAGAATGGGAAGGTGTTGATCACACTTTACAAGAACATTTTGCATATATAAAAGCAGTATTGCATTGCCACAGAAGTGAGCCATGGTACTACAGGTGACAGGTTTAGGACCTATATATTTGGAGTACGTGGTTAAGAAAGAACACACTTCACTGTAATGAATTATGTGATGGTTTATAAGACAAATGTTCAGAATCTTCCATCTGCACCCTATAATCAAAAGCTGATTAAATTAGAAAGATGGCTGAAGACACTGGAATCATGCAATAACATTCATCCCCATACCTGTTAAAGCCCCTGATGCAGCTCTAATAAAATTAAATGCCTTTGATCTGATTAAACTTGGTTTTAGAAGCAATCTCTTATGTACAGTTGAGGGTCTAAAGAAATTTCGTCAAAATGTGTGGTCTAAAATTGACCTCACTATCCTTCACAGAAGCTCATTACAATGAAAATTATGCAACCAACCAATAATCATGGCCATCAAAGTGAGCACAAATGACAATGGAAGAAGTAGTTCCGTGTGCGACACAGGACTAAGAACGTCATTCTTATAAAGTGCAATTAATCCTCAACACATGGTAGACTAACATACCTTTGATATTATTTAAACGTATATTGATCTTGTAAGTGAAGGCAAAGAGGGAGGGTAGAATACAAAAATTTACATGAGTCAAACATTTCAAAATATACTTATTCCATCAATGAATGAAGTCTGACAACATGGCATATCAAGATATTTTAGTACAAAATATTGATTTTACTTTATTTGTACTAAAATATCTTGATATACAAGTAGTTTTCAGACCTTGCTCGTGATGAAATAAGTGTTTTCCAAATTGCCTGACTCATATAACTTTGTTTCCATCCTGGCCACCGTCCTTGTTTTCATTATAATAAGACTTCACATTCCCCTTTTATGGTGATTTTTTTTCCCATTAGAGCTAAAAAGCTTGTATCTAGTACAGTTACTTGTCATTTCCAAGCATGTGAATATTTTGTGTTTAACTCAAAGTGATAAACTTGTACAATTGCTAAAGCTAAATTTAATTCCTATAGGCACTTTTTGACACCAAGTTCAGATTTCTTAATCCTCTTCTAAAATCCATTTACTGAGAATTACTAGCAACTGTGGATAGACACATTACATATCCAACTCTCGTCTTGCACGTAAATCCTCATACAACAACCCTCTAACAATAGGAGTGTGACACACCCTCCTGATGCATGTGACTCCCTCTATTTGATTCTACTGAACTATCACTTTGAGATTAGGCAGAAAAGAAAGCACCGGTTTTCAGTGGGTAAGTACCTATTGGAAATCTATTTTGAGTATAAGAATATAATAACTTCTGATACAGTACATTACCTCCTCTCACATGTATAGCTAGAGTCCCACATTGAATAGATGGAAATACCAGTGCAAGGGAAAGAAATAGGTACCCTTCAAAAGCATCCGAAGAACACCCATGAAGTGCAATCCCTGTTGGGAGAGTACCACACGTGTGAGACAGCAACACTTTTGTACCATGTATATTCTGCATTCAGTGTGGAAATATGTGACGCATACACGGGTGAAACAAAGAATGAGCACAACCAAAAGGGGGAGAAAATACCAGGTGGGTCAGAATCTGAACCTAAGTATACTGGAATCTCAATCTCATAGAAGAATGGGTGTAGAAGAACTATCTCCAGGCAGAAATGTGGGGATAGCTAAAATGGAAGTGCCCCAAGGTGTAGAGTGGCTAGGGAAAGATGTACCATACATGGCCAGTCAACTCCAGTCCAAAACCAATCAGCATTGAGAATAGAACCTCCAACCTATGGCAAGAGGAGGATTCACACCATCTTCAACTCAAGTTAAGTAGAATGGAAGTGTATACTGTGCAAACCAATCTATGAAATGGGCACACGTGTGCAAATCCACAACCAACCACATGTCTGGGAACCTGACATCCAATTGATGGTAGGAAGAGATGTGGCAGGTCACATCAAACTAAAACTCAATCAGACTGGCACCCTAGTATGCAACATCAGCATCAGGCAGTGAAAACACCTGAGGTGGAGCGCAAGAGTGAGAATCATTGTCCCTTACAGTAACTGGACCATAACACCACCCTCTGGGTCCCACTGCATAGAAGTGAATCACCTCTATAAATATATAGGAACTGCACCCTCCAGACAGAACTGCACAGAAGCTGGGTGCAACATCAACCTCTGGGACACACTGAGTGAGGAAGAAGAAACACAACCAACATGAGTGAGGATTTATGTTGATTGGTCCAGCTCTAATAAAAAAACAACACACTGGGAACCAACATCCAGGTGATGGTAGGATGAGAGATCCCAATCAAAGGGGTGAACTACAATGTGAAGGATCTACTTCAAAACATCATCATCCTTTGGATAGTACTGCATAAAGGCTGGAATACAATAGCAAACTCTGGGTTCCACCTCATGGAAGTGAATTGCATCTATAAAATATAAGCAACCTCACCCTTCATATAATACTGCACAGAGGCTGGGTGCAACATCAACATCCGGGACCCACCGCTTGGAGGTGGAGCATACTTAATTGTACATATGCGCAACATTATCCCCAGATTGGGCAGCACAGAAGTTGGAATTCACCCCCACCCTCCAAGTCGGCCCCACCACACGGAAGTGGAATGCATCTAGAAAATATAAGTAACCTCACACTCGGGATAGAACTGCACGGAAGCTGAGTGCAACATCAACCTTCATGACCCACTGCACAGAGGTAGATCACATGATTGGAGGACTGCATGGCATCAATACCAGCAAAACACCATCGCCCCAATTCCCTCTACTGAATAGAAGCAACACCACTCAGAAGGATTCCTCCTTAGTTCACCACCCCAGTGGCTCAGAACTAGAAACTGGCAAGGGCTCCCATACTCCATTAGAAGAACAAAGGGGATAAAATACAGTGAAGAATCCAGAGGAATGCCAACACCAGAGACAATGCAGTGGGTGGTCACAAAGGTGGTAAAAAGGAAGTGGGAGAAATGGATAGGATTATTCCTTTCTTTTCCAGCTGTTAAAAGCTACTAATCATATATATCAGTACCTAAAAAATGGCTAAAACAAATGTTTTGTAGTATGCAGGTACTACATATCTATTATATTTATCTACTATACGAAAAAAAAATTAAATTTTCTAAGTGTTGATTCTGGAAACCTCTAAATCTCATAGAGGTTATATGACAAGTTCAACCTGAAGTGTTACTTTTTGTGGTAGTTTGACCAGTCCAGGAAATTATATAACTTAGTCATTTAGTCTTAATTTTTGGCATTTTCTTTTTTACTTGTTCTTTTATTTTTGTATCAAGCTATTTGCTTCCATGGATTAATAAATAGTGTTTTATTATCTGGAGCTTCAACATTGCGTCTTTTATTTAACCAGTCACAAGTTAATGAACTTTCCTTCTCCAAATTAGATCCATGATTTTTCTTGAGATTAGGTGTGCAGGTATGACCATAAGTTTCCAGTTTTATACATGATTTTTCTTGAGATTAGGTAACTATGTGCAGGTATAACCACAAGTTTCCAGTTTTATACATGATTTTTCTTGAGATTAGGTAACTGTGTGCAGGTATAACCATAAGTTTCCAGTTTTATACTTGATTTTTCTTGAGATTAGGTAACTGTGTGCAGGTATAACCATAAGTTTCCAGTTTTATACATGATTTTTGCTTGAGATTAGGTAACTATGTGCAGGTATAACCACAAGTTTCCAGTTTTATACATGATTTTGCTTGAGATTAGGTAACTGTGTGCAGGTATAGCCATAAGTTTCCAGTTCTATACATGATTTTTCTTGAGATTAGGTAACTGTGTGCAGGTATAACCATAAGTTTCCAGTTTCATACATGATTTTGCTTGAGATTAGGTAACTGTGTGCAGGTATAACCATTAAGTTTCCAGTTTTATACATGATTTTTGCTTGAGATTAGGTAACTATGTGCAGGTATAACCATAAGTTTCCAGTTTTATACATGATTTTTGTTGAGATTAGGTAATTATGTGCAGGTATAACCATAAGTTTCCAGTTTTATACATGATTTTTGTTGAGATTAGGTAATT